TGGGATGTAGAACGTGAATATATCTGGATAAATAAATATACGAAGTATAATTAATAAATCTGCTAAGATCTTTGATTAAAACTGGCCAACTTAGGGTAAATTGTAAAATGAACTAATAACACAGAAACAAAAGATAATATAAAATTTATAAATAGCTATAAAATACCAAAATAATTTTGGAAATAATTGGGGTTGTAGAATTCATGAAATCCCATAGTTAAAAACATACACACAAATCTCTCTCTCTCTCTCTCTCTCTCTCTCTCTCTCTCTCTCTCTCTCTCTCTCTCTCACACACACACACACACTTTCTCTCTTTCTACTAAAATAGGACTTCTTTGCTTTTACCTCAATCACTGCATGTATGCCTTTCTTTCTCTTTCGGTTCTCTTTCTCCCTCTCTCTCTCTACAAATTGCTTTTCCTCTGTTCCTGAGACTCATCCTCTTTCAACTGCTCTCCTGCTGCACTAAATTATTCTCTCAGCTCTTCTCTCTCTCTCTCTCTCTCTCTCTCTCTCTCTCTCTCTCTCTCTCTCTCTCTTTCTTTCTTTCTTTCTTTTAAAGAACGCCTTCTTTGTTTTTACCTCATTCTAACATGTCCGTTTTTCTCCCTCCCTCTCGACCCCTCTCAATTTCTCTTTCTCTTTCTCCGTTAGTCTTTCTTACAGTTCTCTTTCTCTCTCTCACTCGTTATCTCCCTCTCTTTTCACCTTTCTTCATTTTATCTCTATTTCTATCTATTTAGCTCTAGATCTCTATTTCTATTAAAGATCAAAGAAGTCCTCAAATATACATTGGTTCCCAGTTGATCAGTCTCTACCCCGCCCCTTCAAAGATTAAAAAAATATTAAAGAAAGATTAAAAACCCTCGTTTTTTGCGTTTTTCCGGTTTGCTGCCTCACCATGTTTCTAAAGAAAAGACTGTCAAAAATTTGGACTCTGTTAAAAAAGGCGGCCTGTATTTCAATAAAGTTGGTAACTTGGCATAGAAAATTTTTTTCTTTATATGTAGTTTTTTAAATATTAATCATAAATGGTTTTATTTTGCTGAAGATTCAAATTTAAGTTTGCATCACATGCCAATTCCAACGATGCAAGGGCCCTTCTTGTGTGAATATTTAAAAATCAATCAAGTCCGATATCGAGGTTTTTGACTTTATTATAACCCACAAGTAAAATATTTTCATCAATTAAGTCGATAAGAAAAAAAATGCTTAGTTTCTTTTAAAACGCTTCTTTCGTCCTGCGACAAAGGAAAAATTTGCTCCTAAGCTACTACGCCTCTGCATCTTCGGAAGTTCTGAAGGAATCAGACATGCAATATTTTTTTAGGTGAAAGAAAGAATTTATAATAACGACTCTCAAAAGTTTATAAACATAAAAATGTAGAAAAATTTATCTGAACTTGGCAATTTATTCCATAAGATGTATCAGTAAAAAAAATTTCTTGTACGTTAGGTACGATCAAAAAATTTAAAAAAAAAAAAACATTTATATAATGAATTAAGAATGTAAAACATTTTAAAAAATGAGAATTCTGAACTTTGTTCGCTTCAAGTCTAAGTTAAAAAAAAATTGCATATGGGGTAAAAGGATATCCATAGAGAAATAAATTTGTATGATTGTTGGAGCATAAAAAAAAATAATCGAAATAGACTTTTAAAGCTTCTTTTGGAAATAATTGTGTAATGTTTTTTTCTCCATGATTACCTCGCCAAGTAAAGGTTTACAATTTAATTAAATATTTAAATAGAAGTTTTGTTGATTAATAATCCTTACAAAATCAATCATCAAAATCAAGTCGGTTGGCTATAGGTGAAATAAAAATTTTAAAAATGGCATAAAAATGCATTAAAACAAAGGAAATTTAAGACAAATGTGTCTTTACTTACCGAACCGCAGGTGATGACTGGAGGGCTTTTACCCCTTGGAACTTGGCAAAGAGAATGCTAGAATAACGGCACTTAACCCGGACAATGTTCTTTACATACTAATTGGAAAGAAGGCGAACTTAAAGGAACTGGAAGATGTTACGTGTGGACAATAGGAAAGGAGAGAAACAGCTCGTGGTGAGAGTAGTGGGTCCGTTTGTTCAATGGGCCGTGTTTCCCCCCGAACTGATATGAAAACAAAGGCTTTTTTCTTTAATTTACTTTATACTCATAATTAAAATTAAAAAGTTGTTCATTAAGCCGTGAAAAAATTCTCTTTTTCTTTTGTGAAACGTAAATTCCATATAAGCAACAGGTCGTTATATATATAAATTAGGTTCATTCTAGAATAATTTTCGACAAATTTTAGTTTGTTCAATAAAAGTAATCATTCAAATTAATTATTATTTTTATCTAAGGTTTTTGGTTGAGATGAAAAAGCTAGAGCGGGATTCGAACCCACGACCTTCGGCCCAATACGCCGCTGCTCAAATCAAATGAGAAGCAAATATGGAAAAATACTAATTACGTAAATCGACTGTACCATTTCGAATTAATTTCCACACCCAGGAATATTTGTGTTAAAAAACCTAGCAAATCGAGGGCTCCAAAAAAAGAAGAATTTTGAAAATATGGGTTGTGGTGAGGGGATTCTGAACGGAACTTTATGGATCCAAATTTTTCCAAAATTAAAGCATAAACTATGTTACATTAAAAAATGCGTTTAATGCGTAAAACTGTATATGTAAGAACTTTGTATATAAAATTAAAGAAAACAACATATATAATGTTTTATTTATTTTGAGGCCATCAAAAAAATTAACGTGTTATAAATTTTTTTATATTTTTTTTTAAATTGTAAAGAAAAATGCGGGGAGAGAGAAGAAAAATGAATAAGGACAAAAGAAAAAGAGTGTTTGAAAGGGAAAGAAAGGTAGTGGCAAAACAGAGAAACAGATGTGAGGAAAGAGAGATTAAAAGTGAAAGAGAAAGTAGCAGAAAAATTGAACAAGAAGAAAAAAAATTCAAGTAAAAACTTCGAAAGAAAAGAGAGAGTGAATTCTGAAATTTAAAAAAAAATAAAGAGGGAGAGAGAAGAGTAATTCAGATAAAAGGAAATTAAAAGTGAAAGAGAAATAGTGACATAAAGAAGGAGCAAGAAACGAGAAATAGGTATAAAAAATGTAAAGATAAGTAAAAAATGTGCGATTGATTAAATTGTCGAAGACGGAGAAAAAGAAAGAGACGACGGAAAGTAGAGAAAGGGAGAGAGAGAGAGAAGACATTTAAAAGTGAAAGACAGGTAGTGGCAGAAAGAGGGCGCAAACATTGAAATAATCCTATTATTGCTGCCAATTGAAAGAGATATTAAGTTCATAAATTTTTATAAAACATGGAGAGAGAAAGAAACAAGAGAAAGTGAGAGAGAGATAGGGGGTAAAAAGAGAGGGTGTGGCTAGATGGTATATGAGANGAAAGAGAGAGAGATAGAATAAAAGTGAAAGAGAGATAGTGTCAGAAAAGGGAGCAATTGATAAAATGGTGAGAGAGGCTGATAGAGATAGAAATAGAGAGAGAGGGGGGGAGAGAGAGAGAGAGGGTGAGAGAGACAGACAGAGAGAGAGAGAGGGGGGTGAAATGAAAAACGGTGTGGTTAGGTGGTATATAAGAAATTTAAAGAACCAAAGTTATTAAGAAAAATATTGATTGATGACGTGTCAGCGAGACAATTACAAAACAGATATGAAAAAAAGAAAATATCCTGTCAGAGGTAGAAATGTCGAAGGAGAGAATAAAGTTAAAAGTGAAAAAGAGACAGTGGCAGAAAGACGGAGCAGGTATAAAAAAATTGAAGTGATCTTTTTATTTACGATTATTTATAGAGAAACTGAATGAACTGGAGAGAGCGAGAGCAAGAGAGAGAGATAGGATAAAAGTGAAAGAGAGATAGTGTCAAAAAAAGGGAGTAATTGATAAAATTGTGAGAGAGGCTGATAGAGATAGAGAAAAAAAAAATATTGTGAATGAAAGGTGAAGGTTTAGCAAATATAAGAGAAATTTAAACAACCTGGTTGCAAAGAAAAATATTTTTTGATAAACAGTGATCGAACAGTTAAAAAACAGATATGGAAGAAGAAAAAATTACACTGGCAGAGGTCGAAATGTCGAATGATAGAATAAAATTAAAAGTCAAAAAGAGACAGTGGCTGAAAGAGGTAGCAAGGATCAAACAAAAGTTGAAGTGATCTTTTTATTTATGTTTATTTAGAGAGAAATTGAATGTATTGGAGAAAGCGAGAGAGATAGAATAAAAGTGAAAGAGAGATAGTGTCAGAAAAAGGAAGCAATTGATAAAATTGTGAGAGAGGCTGATAGAGATAGAGAAAAAAATGATATTGTGAATGAAAGGTGAAGGTTTAGCAAATATAAGAGAAATTTAAACAATCTGGTTGCAAAGAAAAATATTGTTTGATAAACAATGATCGAGACAGTTAAAAAACAGATAAGGAAGAAGAAAAAGTTACACTGGCAGAGTTCGAAATGTCAAACGATGGAGTGAAATTAAAAAGTAAAAGAGAGATAGTGGCAGAAAGAAGGAGCAATTTCGGGAGTGATTGATAAAATTGTCAAACACGCAGAATGAAATAAAAGAGAGAGCAAAGGAAAGAAAAACATATATTTTAGAAGAAATACCATGTTATGACCAAAACTTGGCACCGCTTACTTACGCTCTTTTCATCAAATAGACGCATTTTTTCCTCACAAATATAAATAATAGCAGCGACCAGAAGAAAAAAATTCTGTGGCATTATTCCACAAAAATCCACCGTTTTGAGAAAATTACTCATTATTGGTGTTAAATGTTCAAAGAATAATTTTAAAAACCTACTACGTAAATGAAAATGTATATAACGTCTCATACATGCTTCCGAAATGTTCCCTACTCAAGTTCTATAACAATTAACTGATAAGAATTTAAAAATTGTATTTGCTTTCAACTCGTTCTTCCACTGATAAAAGCCTTCCAATAATTTTCGCGGTAAAAGTGGGGAGAAAGGAAAAGGCAATTTAACTCAAATATTGTTGAGCCACTGTGAAGATTATCAGCTGTTAGGAGAATTTTATTCAATGCGGCCCTGTGAGATAACAATTCCCAACGAAGGACGTACAATCTTATAATAAAAGCAGGTAATAAATGACATTATACAAGTGATGCTTACTGCTTAATTTTGTCATGAGTATTAGTTGTAATTTTAAACGAGAAGTTCGTACTGTTTCTTGTCTAAATTTACATGCTTTGAATACTCATAGTTTAGCCTGTACAATAAAATTTATTCACTTCACTCATGATTGATCATTGATATCGATTATACGAAAATATTGTATATCAATATGATAATAAATTAATTATTTCGATTTTTTTCCACAAAGGGCTAAATATAGTTTAATAAATTGTTTGGAAATTAATTATCTAAGTGCGTATCATCCATCGAAGTGAGTTGAGATAAGGAGACCGAGGTCATTTGATTGAAATCCATGTCGCACCCATACACTAACATGGAAAAAATTCCACCCACTTGTAATAAAACTTGATTTGTATATACTTTTATATATTAATCAAAGTTGAACGCTTTTTATCATTTGATAATTGAGTCTTTGTCTAAAAATTGCTAAGGAAAATGAAAAAAATAAAATAAAAAGACGGACATATAAAATTTGTTTTAATTATGTTTTACGTTTTTAATAATCATTTCAATATCGCATATTTCCTCTTCTTGCCTTAATTACATCTCGAAGACGCCACGGCATACTTTCTATCAGTCTGGAAATATCTCCTTGCTGGAGGTTAGCCCATTCTTTACGAAGAGTCCTTTCAAGATGGTGGAGTTATCAGGAGGATGGACGTGCTCTAATTCGTCTTTTGAGGTTATCCCATAAATGTTAGATGGGGTTCAAGTATGGTGAGGCAAAGACCCTGATGTTATGCTGTTGAAGGTTTGTTCCATGCGAGCTACATGTAGACGGGTCTCTGATTGACTAGAACACACAGGTGTCTCTGGTATCTCTGATTTCATGGAGGATAGGCAACGCATTATGTAAAATTTCAACCACATAGTCACGGCCACTCGCTATGTGGACCCTCCACAAACAACACCTAACTATGTGCAACTCTCCATTGAAATTCCCGCCCACACCATCACTGAGCTGTTGAAAAGGTCGACTCTGGGAAAAATAACAGTCTTCGTACCATTCATTTCGCCTTCTCCATACTCTTTCAAGCCGATCTGGAGATCGTAGAGCAAATCTACACTCATCTCTAAAAGGTACAGCAGACCAATCGTCTAAAGACCAATGGCTGTGTTCTCGAGCAAATGCGAGCCGTGCAACTCTGTGTTCTGGTCAATTTTGGTCCTCCTACGGGGCGAAAAGCCTTCAGTTCATACTAATTTAATCTTCTTCGAGCAGTGTGTTCAGAAATTTGGACACCTCGAACTTCCTGGAGCTGATGAATCGCTTGAACAACAGTAAGTTGCCGTTTTTGCAAAATTCTCACAATCAAAAAAGTCCTGTGGTTCCTCTAGACGTCTAGAAGACCCTAGAGCGTCCAGAACCGGGTCTTCTATGGTAGGATCCTGTTTCTGGAAAACGTGGCGTCTCGCAGTTTCGTGGGGAACTCCGATGGCAACTCATACCAGTATCAATGAGTGCCACACCACGCGCAGCATCCTCAGAACTAAGTGGCATTTTTAAGTTAAAAAATTGAAATTAAGAAAACAAAGATGAAAAGTAAACAGTTTTTTTTTTTTGGGGGGGGGATTTACACTGGCATATTACACATGAAGTTTTCTATTTTCATTTTACTGTCGAGCGGGATCTGCCGACCAGGACCAGGTCCCCGCCGCGCGCCCGCACCCACTCATTCAGCTCCATCATCTTCTCATCTTCTAAATTTTCATGGTTGAAGATAATCAAAAAGAAACCTTTATCGACTTTAAAAATCCATAGATTATGTTGAAAGCTGATGGATTGTTGCTTATTAGGACAGATTCTAGGTTTATTGGTTTGGAAATGTTCTGGACTTTACTCAGATTTTTTAGCAGTTTGTCTCTTTCATTTTCGTATTCTGGACATTCAAAAATTATGTGGGAAGGATTTGAAGGGCAATCGCAAGTGGGACAGTTCGGAGACGATGCCAAACCGATTCTCTTCTTGTAGCTACCCCATAGGCCATGATTTGTCTTCAGTCTAAAAATAGTAGAATAGAACTCCTTTGACATTCCTTCTGGGCTATCGCCTTCCGAAAACCATGGTTTTTTCTTGAGCTCAGGGAACAGTGACCTGTAATAATTGCCAACATTTGATGCGTTGTATTTTTCTTGCAACAGATTTCTACAAAACTTTTCCAAAAAGTTTTTCCCGACATCTTTAGGAATTTTAATGTCAAGGGTTGGACCTGATGTTGCAGCCTCCTTTGCAAGTGCGTCCACCGTTTCATTTTGCCATAAGCCTGCATTCCATTCACCCAACACAATGCCGCCCTTTTTCCCATGATTTTTGTCTCAAGCATTTTCCTACAGATTTGGGCAAAAATATAGTTTCTGCAAGTAAACAGTTTATTGCTGTAGAATTCATATGAGACTGAATAAATATTTTAAATTCAATAAAAAGTATACACTGAAAAATCCTTTATCCTCGTTTTGGATTAAGGATTAAGTGTGTTTACCTCTAATTGATATTCCCAATATACAACATAGCATAAACAAATATTTATTGGTAAAAACAATGAGACAAATTAAGGGGAGAATTTTCTTATATCGAGAAAATTTTAAAAAAATTGTCTCGACCATTTGACGTTGAATTCTCACAATTTCGTAAAAAATGTTTAAATTTTACCATTTTATTTGTTAGTAAAAGAGGCGTCAATGAATTCGGCCATGAAAATAAATAATGCCAATGTTTCCTTTCTAGTAGATCACTTTAAATCACTTTATCTGTATACTTTGAAGTTGAATGGTATGACACTGAACGAAAAATTTGTTTAGAAGTCTAAATATTTTTGTTGGCCTTTGTAGTACAAAAAATTGCAATTTTTTAATATATTTTAAAAGTATATAAAACTAGAGTATAACCAAGATGAAATTAAATATATACCAATGCTTAATATGTTTGTTTTTTAGAATCATGTCGCAGACTTTTTACGTCTTGCTCGCTCTGTTCGGAGGACTGCTGTATTACTTATATTTATGGGGGAAAAAGAAGCACAGTTATTGGGCAGAAAGAGGAGTCAAGTATGTGGAACCGGTGCCGTTTTTTGGTCAGCTCCTGCCCGTTTTCCTGTTGAAAAAAGGAGTCGGACAAGTACCTCTGGAAATTTACAGGGCTTACCCGAACGAAAAATTGGTCGGATACTACAACTTCACCGACCCCGGCGTCGTCGTTAATGATCCCGAGCTGATAGAAAAGATAACGATAAAAGATTTCCAACATTTTGTGGACAGGCCGCATTTCGGTTTGGACGAGGAGAGCGTCTCGTCCAAAGCGCTGTTCAACTTGTTAGGGAAAGAATGGAGGACGGCCAGGTACAAAATCAGCCCAGCTTTCACGACCGGTAAGCTCAAATTGACTTATCAGACCATGGACCGATGTTCCGACGTTCTGATCGAGAACATAAGAAAAAAGACTAAAAACTGCGAAATAAAACCACTTCTGGTTAATTATGCAATCCACACCATTACAACCGGTGTCTACGGCGTAGAGATCAAAGACGAAAAGACCGTGAAAGACTTTGCCGAAATGGCGGATCTTTTGTTCTTTTCTGGAAAATTGACTATTTTCCGTCAGTCCTTTCTCAGATTCTTTCCAAAAACCTCACGCTTTTTGGGTTTGAAATTTTTCAACGGTGATTGTGAGGAATACTTCAAATTCATGCTCGAGTCGACATTCGAACAAAGAAAACACTCCAAATTGCATAATAATGATTTCGTAGATTTTCTTCTGAAGCTTAAAAACAAAATAAAGCTAGAAGCCATCGAAAAAGATTCCGAAGATAGTTACCTAAATCTTGACGAATCTGGAGAAATAGACACCATAGGTATTTAACATTCTCTTAGATCACTTATTGAGTACAAGTTTTAAATTTATTATTCATAATGAACATATTTTATAATTGTAGCATTAAAAGCTGACTTTTTTATTTAATAGAATTTACCGATCAATTTATCAACGGAATGGCTGAGCAATTCATCCTCGCAGGAGTTCTCCCTCTGGTGCAGGTGGCCCTCTACTCTATGTTCGAACTCGCCTTACATCCAGACTGTCAGGAAAAGGCGAGGAAGGAAGTGAGAGAAGTAAAAGAAAAGCACGGAGGATACACGTACGCTGCCTTGAAGGAAATGACCTACCTGGATTGCTGCCTATCCGGTATGTACCTTAAAATGTCCAATACACCTGGTTTACCTTGGAATGATTAACTGAAGTTTAGCGAACATTTTCTCTATTTTTCCTTCTCTTGGATCTCCTTTATAATTTGGAGGAAGAAAAAAATACAAGGAAGCTCTTGAAAAGAAGAATAACACCAAGGGTTGGTTGGTTATGTAGGAGGAGGCAGGATCATAGGTCATATTGGGCAATCTCCATTATTATATCGAGCTTGTCGTTAGGCTTTTGTTAAGCATAGATCATCACAGCAGAGGGCTTGTTCTACTGTTTCATCTTCTTCTTGTTTCAGCTACCACAAGTCTATGCAAATGCCATTCTACAATGTCCAGTCAGCAGTCCAACTCATCATTCTAATCATCATCTAATCTAGCATGTCATATGTTTAGTAGTTTTACCGAATTTCTGCGATGGTCTTTTTTTTACCCATCCACCTCCCAGCCGTACCTAAGGGAGACCCCATACCGGCGGACCACGGCCACTAAATTAATTCATATTGGATGCAAGTTTAGGAGATCTTATTGTGCTTAACGGCTTCCTTCGGCCTTGCCCTGAAAGGGAAGACCTAAGGAAGGAGGGAAATATTTTTCTTATTATTAATTTACCTAAACTAATAAGTCTCCCCCTTGCTGGTTAATCCTTTTGAATACACTTTCTAATAAAGATATATATACGATATTTTAATAAATTATTAATAAATATGGGTACAAGGAGTAACCAGCTCGGAATTAAAAATTCAGGGAAACGCTAAGATCTAACAAGTAACTTAGTTATCATAGGAAGAAAAAAGAAAAAAGAAAGAAAGAAAAAGCTAGTCAGGTACTTTATCTCGGCTAACAGGCTTGAGGACCTCAAAGGTCCTCTTTTCTTTAACCAGTTCGTTGAGGGTCTGTGGCCAAGTGTGGCGGAAGAGGAGCTTTACGGGTTCCCTCGCACTCTCAAGGAGGGGGCAGTTGAATAGTCTGTGCTGGGCACTGTCATCAACTCCACAGTCGGGACACAGTGGACTGTTGGCTCTACGGAATCGGTGTAGGTAAGCGTTGAAATTTTCGTGACCTGTCATTATTTGTGTGATCCAGAAATCTGGTTGAAACCACTTTGCTCTTGCTCGGTTCTCAATACTGGGTACTCAACTCGTGGGTTACCTTGGTGCTTCTGTCCCATTTTTACTGCCACGAGTTGTCTATCCAAACTGTAAGGATCTCCCGGATCTGCTTTCTAGGTGCAGTTCGTAGCTATTCATCCAAATTTACCGTTGTTGGCTTCTTTCCATCTTTTAGCTGTCGGATTGCAATTCTACTTGTGGAGGACAATGTCTATTGGTGCAGCGGAAGAGAGGACTTGGAGGGTGTGAGTAGGGGCTGTCCTATAAGCTTTGGTCGTTCTCAGGAGCGCTATTCTTTGACTCTGCTCGAGGATGCTTCTACTCCTGCTTTGCAATTTTGTTCCCCAAGCTGCTCCTCCGTACGTAGCATTGGGCAGATATACGCTTTTGTAAGTGGTGGAGAACGCCCTTGGACTCAGGTCCTCATAGTCCTTTGATGCACATTTTTGCTTCTGGCCTTGAATACAATCCCTTACATAGAAGGACGTATTTTTAGCCCGTATGATGGATCTACATTTTGGGCAGTTTCTGCGATAGCTGTCCTGATTGAACTTTATTTGGCCAGTTTATCGCCCTCCTGTTGCCCTTCTGTTCTGTACCCAAACAATGGTAATTTTTGTTGTTGTCCCAAATATCCAAATGCAGCCTTGATGGCGTGCCAACCTCTCTAAAGCACAAGCTGGATTCGTGTCTGCCTCCGGGTCGGTAGGGGACGGCGGGTGCTTTATCAGAGGCACACGAGGGTTAGGGTACCAGATCCGGTCTGCATAGAGGGGGAAGGGTGCATAACCATCTGTACCCGGGGTAGCAGAAATGTGGCAAAGTCCAGCCCCTGCTACAATGGGAACGGACTCGTAGTGGTTAGTGGTGAGGCTCCTGGCGAGAACTTAGGGAAGAAGCTGTTCTTCTATTTGTGACCTCCGCCCGAGCAATTGCGTATGGCCTCCTTTATAAACCCGGCCTCATGGGATACGAAGGATCGGACCATCGAAGCGGATACCGTTGAGGACGTTCAGACTACTCTGACGGAATCCCTCGAATGCGTGAGAAGTGGCAAACGGGAACGGATAATGGTCGGTGGTGCCTGCACGAATGGCGTCCTTTACCGAAGGCAGTCTTCTCTAGGGGGTGGTTAGCAATTCCACTTTAAACAAAACCTCGGCCGGAGCGGATCCGGAAATTCTTACGCTAGAGAAGCCACCACACTCTAGGAGATAGAGCGGCCTTTTCTGCCTAGGGAGTGCGGAGTATTTCAGCCACCTTGGGTAGCCCTTGACGCGCGGCATTCGGTTCGATGCTTAATGCGGACCCAAACACTCGAAATGGGCAAGCGGGGAGTGAGGTCCGTCTTGGTCCCTCGGGACTGGGGCGGCTTCTACACCAACGCTCGCGGCTGTAACACACGTCCGGTCGCGAGGGGAGATGCGTCAGCTCTCATCATTAGAATCAAAACTCCCGTATGGCCAAACGGCTAGGTATGTTAAAGATCCTCATTGTCCTTTTCAGGAGTATTTGGACCGAGTATTTGAGAACGTTATGTCCCAAATGTCTGACAGGGCTTGATGTAATCCCGAACGACTCAGGGCTTTACCCTCGATTATGTAGTTTCTTTAAGTGCCACCTGGCGGTCCGAGTTGTTATATTCTTTTGTTGGTAATAGTCAGCCTTTTGATCTTCCTTATGCAGTGTTCAATAACTAGTCTCCACCTGAAATGCAATGCTATATTGCTCAAGGCTTATATTAGTTTTTGGTTGAATACCACGTCTAAGAGCTATCTTATACCAGATATAGTTGGCACTAACTCGTTTCCTTTGTCCCAAATTGTTTTATCTGGTATTCTCTAGAAACTTCTCTCCTGAAATTAATTCCGAAGCTTTAGATGTCCTAGTTGTCCTGCGAATTATGGTTTTAGCTTTTATGTTGATGGTATATTTAGAAAGACTTTCAAAGCAGCAGAGCTGATAGGTCGTTGATGCTCCAGTAATGCCCAGATATATTAGCATCTGAGCAGTAATGAGGATACTGCTTTCGGCTGTAACGTCATCGTCTATATAACCATTGATCCGTAGGTTCTCATGGGTCAAACAACCGCTATGTATAACCATAGACATCTTTGGATTTAATCCTAAGTTCTTCCCACGAAGTTTACCTTTTGTACTTACTCCCATGTCTATGTAAAGCCCACCAGGTGTTCTTCGGCACAACTCGCGCCTATCTTTCGGAGGTTCTCATACACATTATGTAGCCATCTTAAAAGAGGTTTTCACTTATCACTTGGACGTCTCTCATGAACCGTCCACGGTGTTTGATCCATGCCCATCCTTTATAGGTAGGAACACCAGTTACAGTTAGAAAAGCCGAGAAAAACTTACAGATAACGGATTTCATTTCAAGCGAAACGTTTTAGAAATCATGAGGATGCACTCGCTGGTGGAAAACCTGGAAAGAATCTGCACCAAAGACTATACTACACCAGACGGATTGGTCATAGAAAAAGGCACTACGGTCATGATACCCATTAAGGAAATGATCATGGATCCAAAATTCTTTCCGAATCCGGACGTCTTTGATCCTGAAAGATTCTCCCAAGACAGCAGCATCCCTTCAGTCTTTCTTCCCTTCGGTGCAGGACCAAGGATTTGCATAGGTTCGTTAAGAAATTATTTGAACATTTTGCAACTGATTTATTTTATTTTTTTTTTTTTGGTAATAAGGAAATCAACTAAAAAAATAGTTTTTCGATTAATTAATCAATGTTTTTCATATTTAGGCATGAGATACGCCAATCTGCAGGTCAAATCCGCTTTGGCGAAAATCATTGGAAGTTTCAGCTTCAAACCTGGTAAAGGGGTGGGCACAAAGCTCATATTCGGTACGCTGTCTTTCGTGCCTATTTTGCAAAATAAAATTATTATTGATTTCACACCCCTTGAGTAGCCTCCACGACATAAGCTTCTTGTGAGTTTGTTAAAATTAAAGGAAAATATGTTTAACCTAGTGTCAATAAAAAGTGTAAAAATGAGAATTAATTGTAAATTAAAATAAATATAAGTACTATTTTTTTAAGTATATTCGCTTTCTTTCGTTTGATGTAAGTTTGGCATAAAATGGCGCTGCATGGCATAAAATGCGATCGAGTTTGGTCTGAAAGCTCAAAAACATCCTACCCTGTAGTCGTACTCATCCTCGAGTTCTACCAGACCAAGGACTTTAGAGTATGGGCCGTAATCCTGTCTTTTGTACAAGGCGAATGCGGGAGTTTCTCAGGGCAGCGTCCTCAGTCCGTTACTCAGTGAATACTGTTGAAATCCTTTCTCTTCCCGACACCCCAAAGTCCCACATATTCTTTTCATTTACTAAAATGTCATCCTCAACCTTGGGCTGTATCTAGGCGAACAACTGACCTCGAATCTCTATGCACGATTAAAAGGCAGAACTAAATCCACGATACCAATTACTTAAAATTTTAAGTAACAAATCAAAACTCTCCTTCCGTAACAAAATACTCATAGAAGATACAGAATGGACATGGCATCGAAATATGGGGTTCAACCAAACCTTCTAATCTCCACAGAATCCAGACCCGACGATCATGAATCCTAGTTTCATAATAAAAGACCTGTTGAGTTTCCAACCGCACCATTCATCCCGACCTAAAATACAAAGTTTTACACTAACCTCCAATCCTACTCTAATTCTCATGTACAACAAATTTCCTCCCGATCTCTTCCCAATAATCCTCTTGGTTGCTCCTCAGAGGGTGAAATCCTGCGAGAATGAATTGGTTGGTCTAAAATGGTTATACACCACAACGGTCAGACTTCTGGTCACAAATGGAGCTCTAGCATGGCGTAGAAAGTTAGCCCCAAGGGCTTAGTATGTTACAGATGAATCAAAGATGGAACAAGGAGTAGGTGTAGGGGTAAAAGGGTCGAACCCCTAATTTTCCTAGCTGAAACCTTCATATCCGGGAACCTTCTCCTTGTTCCATATTCGATTCATCTGTGTACGATACTAAGGCCCCTTTCTGGAACTTGGGGGTAACTTTCTACACCATGCTAGAGATCCATATGTGACCAGAGGTCTAACCATGTGGTGTAGACCAATTATTTTAGAAACAATTGCATAAGGAATAGAGATGGCATAGCCGTACTGACCTCTAACCCAAACCCTGGGGTTGCTTGGGAAGATCTAGAGGGATATATCGCATGCATAGTGGATTGGTGGACAATGGAAAATGAAGAAAAACGAAAGCAATTACGTCCATGTCACATTTACACTCCGAAGCAAATCTCTACTCACAATATACTACAACCGACTGCTTTTGTTACCTTGGGTTCCAGCTAGACGCTTAACGTGGAATCAGCATACACGATTAACCTAAACGACAAACGATAAGACCTAAACAGACGGTACGGTTTACTCTACATACTTATAGGACGACGAAAAACAAATATATAATTTACAAAACGCTACTACAACCGATTTGGATTTACGGGATAAAACTGGGGACGACACCCTTAAGTCTTTCAATACCCAACGTCTCCAATCCTTTCAGTCTAAAGTCTTCACATCAATTGTAAATGCTCCTTTTTATATGCCCAATACTACCCTCCACCTTAAAATCGCATATATACAAAACATAATTCCTCAAAATTTACCAAGTTCCATTCTCTCCTATCACCTCAATAATTGTGACCAAGCATTGTCCAGCAAAATCTATCCCTACAATCACATGAGACGTCTCAAGAGGAAAATATATCAGTGTTCATCAAAGTACATATTGAAACCAAAAATTGCAGATTGTAATAAATATTTGGAAAAAATTAGTTAAGAGAGAGATTTGAGGAAGAGGAAGACAGTGATATTTTTTGGATTTGGGTTTATAAAGGCTCAAATCAGCACATGTACATAAGTACATGAAAAACATTTGCCGAGTTGAGCCTATTAGCTTCTCGCTAGCCCACGGAAGTTCCATTTTTTCCTATTTTCAGTAAATTTCTGGCAAACTCGAGAATCACCCACTCCGGGTTGGCAGTCCAGGGTCAGACCTCGATCTTAACCATCCAGCCTCTAAGGTTGTGCTGGGGGTGGGGGGTGCTGTCATCAGCTAGGTCAATTTCCAACACATGCAGTTTCAAACTCATTCATATTCACGTTCAGTTTTAGATACATTCACTACTCTTTACACATCATTCATTTAGGTGGTGGACATGTATTGTACAACTAACCTAACTGAGGGTCGATGGGGAACTCGATATTCTTCACATCAAACATTAACGCTAATAAATACATTCACTCTTAACAGAACCATTACATAAGGTATAACTCACTTAAATGAGGGTTGATGGGGTATTCGATATTCTGCCATCTAACCTCTCACATCACAAATTCACGCTAATAAATACATTCAATCTCACTAGGTACAACTGTTATTACTATATACAATAGAACAATCCCGTTTCCTGTTACGCCTTGCTCAAGCAAAATCGGGCGGCGTTCCTGAGCGCTCTTTTTATGGAACCAAGGAATTGCATCTGTCCATTAGAAGAGACACATCGAGAAACCTTTCTCTGCATGCGGACAGATACGCGGGCTTTGGCCTAAAAGTAAGTGTCTGCGTGTCAACCTCGCAGGCCATCCTTAATCGGGTGAGGATGACGCTTCTTCTACACGTCAGATCCTCCGAGGGCCAGCCACCGGCAGTGCTCTTGATACGCAAGAGCTTCTCTGTCGATCCGGTCCATTAAGACAGATGAAATCTTATAGACAAAAAAAATGTAAAACTAAGTTAGTATCAAGGGTCGGACTACCACAGGGCAATGTGCTCGGACCACTCTTGTACCTCCTCTGCACATCAGACATCCCATCCACACCTTCTACTGTCCTTCCATCCTTCGCCGACGATACAGCCGTACTTTCGTCCAATCCCGATCCTGAAAAAGCTTCGGAGGAGCTCTAATCACACAAACATCGGATTGCGGAGAAGAAAAATTAATGAAAACAAGTGCACCCATTCTACATTTACCCTCCGAAGCAAAACACCCTATTCGCAAAGCTGACTGCGTATGATACCTCTATCTTGGCTCACGACTGACGTGGAAACAACACATCCAAATAAAAAGGCAGGAACTGAATAGACGATTCGGACTGTTCTATAAACTACTCGGACGCAAATCTAATTTGTCGACAAAAAACAAACCAACACTGTACAGAACACTACTGAAACCGATTTGGGAAACGAGCTAGGACTGTGGGACACCGCGAAACCTACCGACATCCAACGAATTCAATCCTTCCAATCCATAGTCCTTAGAAATACAGTAAACGCTCTTTACAATGTCTCCAACGCCACCCTCCACAATGACCTCAAAATACCCTTTGTAAATAAATCAATCCCGTCCAAATTCACCCAGTTTCACGACAGACTCTCCACTCACCCCAGCCCACTAGCCCAATCCATGTCCAACATAATCTATCTCCACAATCCTGTCCGCAGATTACAGCAGAGATGGCCTCGAGACCTCCTCATCAAGGACGAACCTCGCACAAAACTGGGAAACCAAGAATGGTTGGCGACTCCCCTCAAGACATGATATACAGTCTATAAATGTAAATAACCTCAAATTACGAGATGTATATTTTATTAATACAAGTAGTAATAAATGAAATTGAAAAAAATATACCTACCTATTGTTCCTATTTTCTCATGATTTTAATTTACTTACGGCTCTTCCATCGATGACAAAACAGGTTATGCCCTTTTTTGATCCTAAACAAGGGGCGTCGGTGGAAAAATATTCTAATAAACTAACACAAAGCAGTAGAGAGTTGGATTTATGACAACTTTGACTTCTATGCTTCGTAAAACTTCGGCCTTGATAACAAACGGCACGAGCAAAGCAAAAATCCATCAAAGGCGACGACCTTTTTAAGTTGTTCTTTTTTTTGTAATTTTTTTCCATTTGTTTGGTAAGTTCGTGTGTGTAATCAGTCCAAGATCGACGAGACAGATGGCTAAGTATACCCATTTTTTCTTATATTCAAAAAATCGACCCTGATTGAAACCCATTTTCCTTGCACTGGTAAAATTGAATGTTTTATCGTCTTGACCGTTTAACACAAATTCCCGTTGATTCCATAGCCTCGCGCTAATTTTTTTTTTCTAGGCAGATTCAATTGAAGGCTTGAATGCCTAAGTGAAAATTATTACTGGTCACAAACCGTGAATTATCTACTCGAAGCAAATTTTTCAATTTCGATCAATTTTTTCATTTTTTTAAAAGTATTTGTTAATCTAATCAATACTCAAACACCATTCTTTTTCCTAAGCAAGGCAACCCACCCATAATACATCTTACTACCCGTTCTATCAGCCTGCCTAAAAAATCTCCAGAGTCACCCATCTTAAGGGGCTATTTATTCAGAAATCGTGAGATGGTCGTGAGAATTATGCTGTTCTTGTGCGTCCTGTTGAGAGTGCCTTGCACAATTACGCAGAAAACGAACACTTGAGCCCTGAAGATGATCTCAATAAAGATCGAAACGTTGGCACGATAAAGAAAATGTTTTTCTGAAACCTACATCATACCAGACCTCATCTCACGATTTCTGAATAATTATCGACTAACCCACACATTAAGGAGCTATGTTGACTCAGACTGGGCAGGTGACGAGGAATCAAGAAAATCAACTACTGGTTGTTTATTTCAAGTATATGGATGTACTGTACTATGGAGTGTCTCAGTACATTCTGTAGCATTATCCTCAACAGAAGCAGAGTTTGTAGCGTTATCGACTGCTGCAAGTGAGGCTTGCTGGTTGAGAGGACTCTTGCAAGAACTGGATCTCCCATTAAAAGGACCAACAACGATTATGGAAGACAACCAAGCTGCTATCAATTTTTTTTTTAATGTGATAAATATATTATTATAAAATTAAGAACATAGAGTATAATAAGTATGTTACGGGCAAAGTGAACAATTCATTATTTACAATGACCGGGCAATATGAATAATGACCACAGAAAATGGAAAATGTGATTTAGTGTTTTCCTTCGTGTTTTATCACTTTGACCGACCATTATGCATAACGCTGGCACATCGTTGGGCAAAGTGATAAAAATCAAAAAAGAAGACAGATTGTTGTTTATAAATTTGTTACCTTTACAAATTGGGAACAAAAAAGGAAAATTATTGCAACTATACGCCAGGAATAAATTTACAATTTGTAAAGAAAAACTGATTTCTCCTCATGAAGTGCCTGATGTGGAAATTTCATTGAGACAGTGCACAAGGAAGTCTTCTGAGTCAGGAGGTCAAGGGTACAGCCGTTGCTACTGCAAAAGCGGGTGCAAAAGTAAAAAGTGTAACTGCCTTAAAGCAAAAAAAAAAATTGCAATTCAAAATGCGCTTGCGCCAATTGTTTCAATAAAAATAGTATTGATTAGGTTTCTAATATGACTTTTATTTTAAGAACCCTCAATACGTTACTCGTACTTCTTGAATAAAACCACTACATACCTATTGTTCATTTTTAGTATTTTTATCAATGAGTAGTGATTAGTGACCAATTGTAGATGATTATTCAGAAATCGTGAGATGCGGTCTGGTGTGATGTAGGTTTCAGAAAAACATTTTCTTTATCGTGCCAACGTTTCTATCTTTATTGAGATCATCTTCAGGGCCTGGGATTTACAAACATTGTTTAAATTTAACAAAAACATGTAAGTTGAGGAAAAAAGTGAATTTATACAATGCAAATAATTATTTGTTTTACATGTATGTATATATATTAAATCAAAGTATTTCTACTCACTACATTACAAACATTTTGAGTGAGTAGAAATACTTTGATTGAATTTTTTTTTTTAATTATTTGCATTATATAAATTCACTTTTTTTGGAATTAGGACTAAGAATCGCTGTAAAATCAGTGTATTTGTTGGAATGTTAACATGTATAGGAATATTGCAGTGTGTACTGAAAATAGAAACGGGCCAAGTATGCTTCCCTGAGGAACACGCTCTAATAAGAACGTGTATGGGGTGGGAGTACAGTTCCATGACGGACTCTGCAAATCCTTTTGTCAAATACGATCTCAGTTTTCGCACATACCCTAAAAACTCGATACATGACCTGTTCTAAACATCCATTCAGTGCTGCTTTTGTACAAGGATAAAGGTGGTATTGTTAGCACAACGAGCTGTTGAGTTGTAGAGTGAAATGAGCAGAATCGTGATCATTTTTCTAGAAGTTTGACAAGGATATACAGGGTGTTTGGCTACTCATGTTACAAACTTAGCCAGTAGATTCGACATTCAAAAAGAAACCAAAAAGTCCTAATTAACTATGGTCCTAATTTCAACAGTTTCGGAGTTAATTCACTATTTCTGATTTTTTAAGATTTCTCGACATTGTTTTAAATAAACAATGATCACTCCAAATTTAAATTTTTTTCGACAAATCCGTTCATACCATTGAAAACTACGTTAAATTTCCAATAAGATGTGCTCAATACAAAAGCTGTAAACATTGGTGAAATAAATGTTTTAGTTGCCAGAATTTTGAAAAATGTGTGGTCATTAGTGACCGTTTGTCGATGATTATTCAGAGATGCGGTCTGGTGTGATGTACGTTTCGGAAAAACATTTTCTTTATCGTACCAACGTTTCGATCTTTATTGACATCATCATCTTCAGGGCCTGGAATTTACAAACATTGTTTAAATTTAACAAAAACATATAGGATGTGAAAAAAGTGAATTTATACAATGCAAATAATTTTTAAAATATAAATATGTATATTCATCAAAGTATTTCTACTCACTATATTACAAACATTTTGAGCGAGTAAAAATACTTTGAATATTAAAAAAAAAAAAAAAAAAAAAAAAAAATTAATGCATTGTATAAATTCACTTTTTTCCATATCCTACATGTTTTTTGTTAAATTTAAACAATGTTTGTAAATCCCAGGCTCTGAAGATGATCTCAATAAAGATTGAAACGTTGGCACGATAAAGAAAATGTTTTTCTGAAACCTACATCACACCAGACCGCATCTCGTGATTTCTGAATAATCATTTTTATCAATATTACTAGGTGTATGTTTTTTTTGTTTTTTTTTTAAATTTCATTAGCTAGGTAATAACATTAAGTACCTATTTTATATAAAAATAAATATTGTTTTTTGGTGATAATTTTTTATTCAATTTATACACTTTATATTGCTGAAATGGGATTTGGCAAATAACAGAATTGGAATATTTGGAATACTTTAATAATTTTTGAACATTTCGTATAATGACTGGTCAGTATGATAAACTCAACATGCTGACTTATTCTTTATTCATACTGTTCAAATAGGTTTGGTCATTATGCATAATGACCAGTCAGTATGATAAAATTAAGTTTATTTGTCGCTTTGTCTATAGTTTTGGTCATTATTCATATTGCCCGGTCATTGTACATAATGACCAATTATTCACTATGCCCATGACAGGTATACTAAACAAATAACAGTGACCTCATATTTTAATTGATAAAGGTACTTATAGGATTATTTAAGTAGTTCAACAGGTCTTAAAAGTCTTCAAAGTCACAAATCCCTTAATAAATTATTAGAGAATTTAGACTGATTATTGGTTTTTATCAATTTAGTCTATCAAAAATGAGAGTTTTTAGTTTACACTCTTTAAAAAAAAATTACATGATGTATCCTCTTTGTGTCTATTAAATTTGTAATTTTTAAAACAAAAATTCACCCTATTATTAAAAGCGTGGCACACATTAAACAGGTTTATTTAGAATTTGATAACGAAAAAACACCATTGAAGAACGGTTGCTCATAGTGGGCACAAATCATTAACAGCATAATCTGTTTTCTTTTGATGTGCCGCTCTATTTGAATTCCAAGCTTCATTGTTACCAGTTTGAAAGAATGGAGAGCACAAAACAGAAACCTAGATAAGAAAGGTACTCTAGAACGTCTAGTCATGAACTGCAGGCATCTCTTAATTCTACTAATAATTAAAGGTTGTTTTTATATATATTTTCTAATTTTTCTACTTGTATTAAGCTTAAACATATTCTCAATATGATTGTACTCTTTATCTCTTGTAGGCTTTAATGGAAAAGAATGTACATCACAGTTTTTTACTTCTGATATCAAAGAATACAAGAACATTGATAACGCTTCTTTTTGGTTTGATGCACAATCTAATGTCAATTTTTTGCTGTACACAAGGTTTTCTCTTGTTTATCTTTCAACTAACGAGACAATGACACATTGTTGTTTATGCTTAGGTATAATGAGAAGGCACAGAAATTGATTTATGGTAGCGTATCAAGTGTGATGTACTCAAACTACGATTTGACGAAAAAGACCAAAATATTGATTCATGGCTGGCTGAACTCAGGGGAGAACTTTTTCTGCGAGCAACTCAAAAATGGTTAGTGATCAATCTTTCTAGTGGAATCTTGACTTAAGATGGTTTTTCAGCATATTTGCGTGCCCATGATTACAACGTGATTGCAGTCGACTGGTCTGCCTATTCCTACAACCCATATTTAATTGCAAGATTCTCAATTAATGCAATAGGTAAGTTAATTATTTTATTATTTTTGTTTTTACAACTTATAGTAAGAGGAAAAAACCAGTGAAGTCAGCATTTTCCTTTTTATGAATTATTTATGTAACATCCAGGTCCGTATGTCGCCAAGATGATCGATTTTCTCATAGAAGATATCGGCACAGATTACACCAACGTACATGTCTTGGGGCACAGTCTGGGTGCCCATATAGCAGGCCTGGCAGGGGAACACATGAGGCAAAACCTCTCCAGAATCACAGGTAAAAATGCCCACCTGTGCGACAATAATCGTTTTGAGACATTTACGATTTTAGGTATGGACCCAGCGAGCCCGTTAATTTTGGGCAACGGCCACTACAGACTCGATGAGACAGATGCCAACTTTGTCGACGTGATACACACAAGCGTTTATTACCTCGGAGTCTACAAGCCAATCGGTCATGTCGATTTTTATCCGAATGGAGGCGGCCCCCTTCAACCAGGATGCGGAGTCGAAATCGGTCAGTTTTCCCGTCAAACGTTTCAAAATTAAAAAATACATAATAGAAAATTTTCAGGTGTATGCACACATAGAAGATCATACAGATATTATATAGAATCTATATTCAATTTATATGGATTCATGGCGAAAAAGTGTGAGACTTGGCAAGATTTCGTAAGTAACAACTGTCTGGCTGAAGTAGCTTTCATGGGAGAAAATGCATCACCAATGTAAGACATTAAATTTTCTTAACGTTATGAATATTGCATAAAATTTGATTATAGGTCAAGAGGCAAGTTTTATTTGAGGACAGCAACAAGCCCTCCTTTTGCACTGGGCAGTTTATTTTTTTGATGTACTAATTCTAATTCGTTCATAACATGGTAAAAATAAATTAAAAATTAAAAACTGTATATATTTCGTTTTACAATGTATTACAAAATTTATCAAAAAATAAATAATTATCACATGTTCAGCTGTGTTGTTTGAGAAATTTAGGAAACTGTCGTTGTATGATTTGTCTGATTTGCTGAAAAAGGGAAAGCACCGTTTGTTTCCAAATAGAAGATTCCTTTCCAACTGCAAAATAAATTTTCAATTATAAAAGTAAATTATTTTATATGCAAAATCATACTTTTTTGATGCTGGATAGCCCATTAGCGCTCCTTCGTTCACACATTTGACGACGAACGCATCTGCTAAACTTGGACAGGTGTAAGCTGAGAATTCATGGTCGGTGATAAATGATTCAGTGAACAGTTCATGTGCTCTAGAATGGCTGCAACCACCTGTGTAGTAAAAATTATTAACGATAACTAATTAAATTTCTTGTTTAAATGTATAAAACTGTAAGCCAATTGACAACTCACCAAAGTCGTACCAGTGGCATCCTGGCTGTACTACTCGGCCTCCATTCGGGTAAAAGTCTGATGTGCAGATTGGTTCTAAGACGCCCCACAGTCCACCGCAGGTGTGAATACAATCGACGAATTCCGCGTCGCTACTATCAAGCCTTCCATCATTTCCGGCCACTCCGAAATTTGGCAGGGCTGGGTCCAAGCCTGAAATTTCATAGTTTTAAAACTGCCCGTCAATGACGATATAATTTTTATTTACCTGTGATTCTTCCGACGAGGCCTAATTTCTTTTTGAGCATCAGTCCAGCAAAACCGCAAACGTGAGCACCGAGGCTGTGCCCTATCAAGTGTACGTTTTCTAAACTCACTTTGGTCCGGACGAGGAATTCAATAAATTTGGCCAAATCTTCTCCTATGTCTTTTGTACATGCGGCAGCATTCGGATAGTAGCTGCTGCTCGCCTTCGCCTGCCAATCAACCAAAATAATATTCGCATCCTCGCGGTCTAAAATATCTGAAAAAATTTAAACGTTAATGAAAAGTTAATTTTCACTTTTTGCTTATTCCAACTTTAATATTAGCTTACTATTTTTCATTTTCTGTATGCCTTCAGATAGATAATCTACTTTATATCCATGGACTATAATTTTTAGAGGCTTTTCAGGTTTCCATTTTATTTTTAGAATGGTATCAAAATTTCCTATTTTAAGTGGGAGCCCAACATTCTTCATATCCCTAAAAAAATATCACATTCTTATAAAGATTCTTTCATTTATTGATTAATTAATTTTTTTACATTTATTTGACGAATTTCTTATCTAAATTGAAAATATAGAAACACTTTAGTAATAAGTACCACTGTGATTTTCAAGTAAAAAATACATTTAAAAATTGATTAGATTAATGTATTTTTTTTCATTGCTAATACTAGATAATAGAAAAAAGCTAGTCATAAAAAGTAGTGAAATATCATTTTACCTGTTATATAAGTAGAAATTGACGGAATCCTCATTTTCAGCATTGACCTTATAAAGACTTTGAAATTTTGCCATTTTGGTCGGTAGTTGTAAGAAGACCACATGCGATTTGCCAAATTTGTCCCTGACGACAGTCCACTTTTGGTTGTCGAAGCTGACTTCTTTGTTTGTAGACGGTTTCCATTCGAGGATTCCTCCTAGGCCTGAAAATCAAAATGCAATTAATAATAAATTAATAGTAATAGCTAATTTAAATTTGCAGGATGTAATTCGTTTACTTAAAAAAAAAAAAAAATGTATATATAATTACCAAAAACTTTGGTGACACACATGAACAAAAGTACTGAGTGTTTTTCAAAAAACATTTTTTTTTAATTTGTTCAATACCTTTGTATGGCAAATTTGACACTGTACTCCAATGGATGTCCAGTCGATTTATAAACATTTTTGTGGCATCCATGCTCTTAAATGACAATTATTGCGATCTTATCAATGACGATATTTCTCAAGAGTAAATTTTTTTTTACAATGGAAACCACTTTGTTTAAGTGCTAATTTTTGGCCCCCTGAAACAATTGTATTCATTAGCTTGTAAAGATTTGTTTACAGATAGTGGATAGAGTTAAAGAAATAACTGTCAATAAATTAAAAACACTTGAGGTTGTTAATTCGCACTATTTTTCCGATATTTTATAGTCGAATCAACTCAATACTGGGTTTATTTTAATTATGCAATATATTGCTTTGCGCCAAATTTTGGACATACCTATGGAGCTACTGCACTTTTACTTATTCTCCAAACAGGGTCTGAGATAATACATGTTAATTAAATAACTTTTTCCAAGCAGAATTGATATTGGCAGACCTTTTGATGAACTATGTGACAAAAGTGTTTCTTAATTATTTATTAGTTTGGTAATTTCTGTTCATTTTGGTCTGCTTATCCTCTCTGAGTTTGTCTGTCAGATGCGCTTTGGCATTTTCAGTCTGCTTTGTGCAAACTTTTGGACTGGAGCTACTGCACTTTTGCCTTAATGAGAAAATAAATTAAATATTTTTATTGTTGCAAAATTGATATTGGCAAAACATTCTGATGACCTGTGTGACAAAAGTGTTTCTTAATTATGTCATTTCTATTCCTTTTTGTCTACCTATCCTTGCTGTTAATTATCAGATGAGTCATGATATAATTAACAAGCCGAAACTTTATAATTTTTTTATAATTAGATTACTGCACTGGACGTTGAATTTTTTACAAATCAACTGCTGGAACAATAAAAAAACCCAGACTTAATCCGCCAAAGGTTGGATGAAGATAACACTGGCACACTTTATCTTATAAAAGAAACTTGATCGCACAGACATAACAGAGACACACTGAAGATGGCGAAAAGCCAAAATGCGTCTGACAATTAGCGAAGGTAGGCAAATTAAAATGTTCGTTAACAACCAAATTACTGGTTCATCATCCTTAGGCAGCATGGAGAAATCTTTATTACGAAGTATAAAATCATATCTTAATTTATGAGATTTCATGTTGGGGTCTTATATTTCTTTGGTGGTTTTTGACCATTTTGGTCTATCAAGCTACAACCTAGCTACAACGTAAAATTTCTTTGCTGAAATGTAAATCTGCCATCTTAAATCATCAGAAATAACATTTAAAAAATGATCAAACTACAGGTATGTCATCAACATCACACTTATTATTTATTACAATTAATTAAGCATTTCAGTTGAGATAAAAAAGTCAATGGCACGAGCGGGATTCGAACCCACGATCTTCGGCTAGATATGCCTTTTCCCTCCTGTTTGCCATTTTTCAATTGTCGCCGAGAATCCAATCCGATTACACAACATTTGAAAAATGGCCAAAAGGAGGGAAAATTCAAAAGGCGAGGTTGAGATGGGAAGCTAGTGTCCGAGTGGATCGAGGTCACGATAGCTCAGGTGGTAGAGCAGCGGCGTATCTAGCCGAAGATCGTGGGTTCGAATCCCACTCGTGCCATTGACTTTTTTATCTCAACTGAAAACCTTAATTAATTGTAAGATATTAATTGGTCAAGCGGACCACGAAACTAGTAAACTTATTATTTATATTGTGTATCATTATTTTCATTATTTGCATTAATGCAAGTGATTTCTCTTTAAATTAAAGTTTTGACTGTAGTGCAGATATGTTTAAGAAGAATGCTTGGTTTTGTCATCTTTCAATATGGTTTTTTATTTAACAACATACATTTTTAAAAGAGCATTTCTTATATTAAATACGTGAAAAAATATCCTGGGAAAATATACATGATTTTTTTTCCAGATTTATTGTTTGTTTATCTAAAAAAATGATACATCATAACATAAAGATACTTTATCATAATCTCAATTAATGGAATTCTTCTTTTTGCTCCTGTCATAATTCAATTATCTAAGAAAGTATTGTTGAAAGGGCAAGGCAAAAAAGGGAAATATGTGAAAACTTCACAAAATTTTAAAAATTCAATTTAACATTTTGCAAACGTCCATCACTCTGATCAATTCATTTAATAGAAAAATACCAGTAATATGCAGACCAAAATGATCATATTTGATTAATCTACGATTTTTACAACAAAAAATGCATTTATTATGCAAACAAATTGTCAGGTCCCTGAACTTCAACTGCAATTCAGATTCTAAGACAGAACTGATTAAAGGCACTTGCAGCATATTGTACATTACATTCGACGACTTCGGACCTCCACAGATTGTAAGAAATTAAATCTCCAGGCACTTTAATATTTGCCTTCGTTCAGGCGATAAATCAAACTATGCCTAAGTGCCTCTTGAAGTTTTGAGTATAACAGACGTAAAACAGAATCACAAAATTATCTTGCGATTTGTTATTTATTATTATTACAGACGCAATGGATTTCTGGTCATTTTTTCTTTATCTTATCTCCTTCCCATCGTATGATACATCGTATGATATGTCATAGTCATCTAATGCAAGCAGTCTATTGTTTACAATTACCTCTTAATGGTCATAACTAATGAATCATTGGTTTTCAATAAATTAGAGTCGAGAGTTGAAAATATTGTTCAATTTGTGTTTTCAATAGAAAACAAAGAGATGTTATTTAATATCTTGAATTGTTTTGTATTAGCGTATTCACCTAATATATTACATAACAAGAATTTTCATTGATAAAAAAAGACAATAATGCCTTATATAGAGAGGTAGATTTTTTTGTAGATTCAAAATACCATTAAACCTTTTCTTTATTTGCCTATATAAAAACACTTATTATTTGTTCATGTCAAATAATGTCCAGTTCATTCATAGCATGAAAGAGGGCTATATTTGTAAACCTATATTGCAATCCAAATTATCAACTTTTAATGAAATTATGCAAAAGTTGTTGCCCTGAAAGCCCCTACAGCCGATGGCAAAGCATTTACCAAATAACACTTGATATATCTAAGCATTGAAAATCAAAATATCCATAAGATTAAATTAACTGAATTATACAGAAATTTAAAATAGTCCTCATGAAAGTACAAATAATGAAGAATACGAGAGTCAGCTTCTTCGTGATGTCTGATTTTAATCTTGTTCAAAAATTTGTGTATTATTTAGATTTTTTTAAATAATTCTAGGTTGTTTCTCATCATTCTAGTCACACACTTGATATATTGGGAAAAACCCACCATTGAAGATGGCAAGATTTCAACATGTTTGACAGATTAGCATAGCCAGATCTAATTACAAGTTTGATGCCCTGAAGACTTAAAAAAAAAATCAATCAGAATATTTTTTTAAACAATTAGGTAGTTTTAAAATTTTAATTACATCATTACCAGTCATTTTGGTCAGCCTTTCGTCATTATGCTTGATTTCAACCCAGCGCTGATTTTACATTGTTGTGGGTTTTTGTATTGTTTAGATATTTGATTTATTCTTTATAATTTTAGGTTGTATTTGATCATTCTAGTCACACACTTGTTATATTGGGAAAAACCCACCACTGAAGATGGCAAGATTTCAATATTTCTGATAGATAAGCATAGCAAGATATAAATACATGTTCAACGCCCATAAATTTTTTTTAAAAATCTTTCAGAAAAAAAAATTAAATTAGGTAGTTTTAAGATTTTTTGCGATATCAACCCAGCGCAGATTGTAGATTGTGTGTGTGTGTGTGGGGGGGGGGTTATATTGTTTAAATTTCTGATTTATTTTTTATAATTTTAGATTGTTTTTCATCTTTCTAATCATATATTTGTTGNTTTTGAACGAAGCATTTGGACTTATCTTCTGGGGCCACTCACCTCAACATAAGTTTAAATTAGCAATTGATTATCCAATGGCCAACTAAAACAAGGACATGAATTGTTAAAACGATTGGGTAGTTTTAAAATTTTAATTACAGTGTTACAAGTCATTTTGGTCAGCCTGTACATGTTGTACTTGATTTAAATGTAGCACTGTTTTTAGATTGTTGAAGGTTTTTGTATTATTTAAATTTTTGGTTTATACTTAATAATTCTGAGTTGATTGTGATCATTCTAGTCATATACTTTTTGTATTGTGACAAACCCACTATTTAGATTTTTGGCCAGAAGACAAACAAAACAAAAAAAAATCAATCAGATAATAAGTTTTTAAACTATTAGGTAATTTTAAAATTTTAGTTACATCATTACCAGTTATTTTGGTCAGCCTTTCGTCGTGCTTGATTTCAACCCAGCATTGATTATAGTTTGTTGTGGGTTTTTGTATTGTTTAGATTTTTGATTTATTCTTTATAATTTTAGGTTGTTTTTGATCATTCTAGTCATATACTTGTTATGTTGAGACAAACCCACCACTGAAGAAGGCAAGTTTTCAAAATTTCTGATAGATTAGCATAGCAAGATCAATGCCCCTAAGAACTCAAAAAAAAAGTTCAGAGAATAATTTTTTAAACAATTAGGTAGTTTTAAAATTTTAATTACATCGTTACCTACTGTAAAATGAGCCATTTTGGTCAAACTGTAATCATTGTGCTTGATTTAAACCTAGCACTGATTTTAGATTGTTGTGAGTTTTTGTATTATTTTGATTTTTGGTCATTTTGGCTGGAAGACCTCAAAAAAAAAATATAATCAATCAGAGAATAACTTTTTAAAAAATTAGATAGTTTTAAAATGTTAATTACAAGCCATTTTGGTCAGCCTTTTGTCGTTTTGCTTGATTTCAACCCAGCGCTGATTTTAGATTGTTTTGGGTTTTTGTATTATTTAGATTTTTGGTTTATACTTTATAATTCTGAGTTGATTCTGATCATTCTCATCATATACTTTTTGTGTTGTGATGAACCCACTATGAAGATGTCAAAATTATAAATTGTCTGACAGATTGGTATAGCAAGTCCTAAATACGGGCTCATCAATGTCAAAAACAACTCAGGAAAGATTTTATATAATGATTAGGTAGATGTTTAGGTCGTTATCAATCATTTTTGTCAGTTTTTCCTGGTAGTGTTTGATTTCAACTGGCTCTTTATTTTAGATTTTGTGAATTTTTGTATTAAAAGTTTTGGATTATTCTTGATCATTTTAGGTCATTTCGTATCATTCCAGTCACATCCTTGCTGATTTGGGATAAACACACCACTGAAGATGGCGAAATGGTAAAATATCTGGCAGACTGACTAGTCAGATTTAAGAAAAAAAGGAAATGACCTAATTGCAAGTTCATTTTAACCTCCACTTCATCTTATTGATTAACTTTGATTCTTATGAATTTTTTATTGATATTTATTTTAGATAATTCTTGGCCATGTCTGATCATTCTACTTTCATCATTGTTTTGTTTGGGCAACCCCACCATTGAAGAAGGCAAAATGTCTTACACACTAACAAATCAAAATGTTATATTCTTTTTAGCATTTTCAGCTTTGGGTCTGTGTGATTTTTATGTAGTCAAGTCTCTTTTATAAGTCTGTGAGAGTATTAATTACACAGAAATCATAGCGATGCACTACTGAAGATGTTGAATAGCCAAAACAAATCTGACAGACCCAACTGTTAACTCATGGTTTATTACGCAGTCCATCCAAGATTAATTGCTTAATGGTATAAAATTATGTTTTTCATTAAGATTAAATTATATTCCAACTCTTTTGTCTGTATAAAAAACTCCATATATTTATAAATTGTTCACAATAAATTATAAATCACTTGAAATATACAAAAATGTACAAATAAAATTTTAGTTGAGAGTATTCATTTGCTTTTCACCATCAGGCCATTTTAACTAGTGCGTATGGATACGATGAGTTTGTCTGCGTATAATGAATCCCCAGGTAACTGTATAAAAAGATAAATAAAATATTAAATTGTTTTAAATTAAATTAATTGAAAATTACCGGTTTGTCGCAGGGTAGCCCATGAGTGCACCATCAGCAGTGCAATTTACGTGTGTCGTGCCTGGTAAGGATGGGCAAGATAGAGATGGGAATTTATGATCTTTTAAAATTGACTCGGCGAAATATTCATGAGCTCTACCATGGCTGCAAGATCCTTTAAAACAAACAGTAATTTAAAAAAAAAGTATTTCATACAAATCTATAAAATAATCGGTGTGTCATTAATTTTTTTTTACCAAAGTCAGCCCATGGGCATCCGGGTTGAACATTAGTCCCTCCATTGGCGTAAAAATCGACCTGGCAGAGAGGTTCAAGAAATCCCAAAACACCACCGCAAGTGTGTACGCAGTCGACAAACTCAGCATCATCCGGGTTAAGCCTTTGATCATGGGTCGTCTTCTCAAATCCAGGTAATGCAGCATCAAGACCTGTAAAGCGCAATAAATATTTTTGTGCGGTGATTAGTGACCGTTAATCAATAATTATTCAGAAATCGTGAGATGCGGTCTGGTGTGATGTAGGTTTCAGAAAAACATTTTCTTTATCGTGCCAACGTTTCAATCTTTATTGAGATCATCTTCAGGGCCTGGGATTTACAAACATTGTGTGAGTAGAAATACTTTGATTGAATATAAAAAATATATTTTGCATTGTATAAATTCTCTTTTCTACATCCTAAATGTATTTGTTAAATGTAAACAATGTTTGTAAATCCCAGGCCCTGAAGATGATCTCAATAAAGACCGAAACGTTGGCACGATAAAGAAAATGTTTTTCTGAAACCTACATCACACCAGAACGCATCTCACGATTTCTGAATAATTAATAAATATTTTTATTTTACAGAAATTTAAATAAGCTTTTATTCAATATATTAGTCTTGTTTTATTTCTGTTTTATTCATTACCTCCTTTATACTTCCTGTTGTGCAACGCAAGGTAAAAATTGCAAGTTTGAATTTTTTTTTAATTGCAAAAATAATTTTTTATCATTATTTTATTTTTAATAATTGCAATATTTTTAGTAAAAAAATTTTTAGCTTGAATTTTATTCCTGATTTTATTTCTTTTCTTCGTACAATTTATTGATAGATACTGACCTAATCATCATCCATTTTTTTAAACAAACATCAAGGAACATCCATGACAGATTAAAAGAAATTATTTAGCAAACAGCGATAAGAATCATTTCAAGTATTTAAAATTTTGTTGTTATTATTAAGTCGAAACATATTAATCAAAACAGCTTCAAACGATTATATTTATCCTTATAAAAGATTAATTAATTAACACACCTGTAAGCCTTGCAAACTTTCCAGTTTTGAGATTTTTCGCGGCGAAGGAAGCAACATGTGCACCGAGACTGTGTCCGATCATATGGATGTCCTTATACTTCAGGCCATTACTCATGAGGAAGCTAACAAACTCGCTGACGTGAGCACCCACGCCTGGCACCTCAGCAGCTATAATGTGGTAGAATAAATGATCCGATATCAAACTCCAGTCGACGCCTATCACATTAATATCTTCCTGCTTTAAAACATCTAAAAAAAACACAATATTATTTTTTATCAATATGAGAATTTTTTCTTACTTTTTTTATACTCACTGTTTTTAATCGATTGTATGCTGTCAGAATAAATATTGTTCATATATCCATGAATAACAAATATTGTCTTCTTGGACGCATCAAAATTTGAAGTTGTTAAAGAGGGTTTATCATTTTTCCACAGTTCTTGAAACTTCTGTGAGTTTTTCCTTAAAAATAAAGATAAAAATATTTGTAAACATTTTAAGATCGGTATTGTTTTTTAAAATGATATACTTACGATGTATATAAGTAGTATTTTATGAGACCTTCTAAAGATAAATTAATCGGTTTACTCTGTTCTACCACCCGGAGAGAGACGAAAACCGGTTCGCCGTATGAGTTGTTGAATAAGACAAAGTCTTTGTTGTCATTTGTAAAATATGGAGCTATTTTCGACCATGTCACTTGCTCTCCCAAAACTAGACAGGATTGTCATTTTAAATTTAATCGTAAAAAAAAAATTTTGTAATAATTACCGCTGGCTAGGGAAGCGATGAGGATTCCTGCTATGATCAAATATTGCATCTTGGGATAACTTAAAAGTTCATCAGTCGATTATAAACTAAAGAACGTATTGCTTTATTCCTTCTTTTTATAAGACAGTTTTTTTTTGCTGATTAATCTAGATGAAGTACTTCTTAACAACCATCTCTTAATCCGATAATTTTTTCTTAATCCGTCTAATCTAGATTTACATTTTAATGCGAAATATCTCAAATTGTAAAATGTTTTGTTACAAATCCTAAAGGATTATTTTGTTTTTAAGTTATTGCATATTGTTCTGATAAAAAATTGTTTTTGATAAATAAAAATGTTAAATTTATAAAAAAATAATTTAAAGAAAATTTTTGAACGGCTAACATTTTCTGCGTTTAATATTTAACAGTTATTGCTTTGACTATAATTTATCAGTAAATTTAAATAAAGATAGACCACTTATGTCTTTTTGCTCTAATACAAATGCATCTTAACAATTTTTTATATTTATTTTTCTACTAAAAACCGGATTCCTCCCACAGAAATTCAAAAGTCAATGGTAAAAAATAAATTAAATATATAAGTAGTCATTATTGTTGTTATATACAACTGACCATAAATTTCGAAATTTAAACAGTTGTAAGCCAACCAGTAAAAAACACTTCAAGTGTTATGTCACTCGTGTTCGATGGATTTGGAGAGACAGAAGCTTTCACAACAGTTTTCAATTGCGATTTAGGATCGTTTCCTTATCAATCCGTTGATTACTACAGGAAATTGAGCAAGGCATGGGATATTAGCTTGGAATTTGTTGTTATTAGTATTCTTATATGAAAAATGTTTTTTTTTTTTTTTTCACTTTGCATGTAATAAAGACATTTACGATAAAATAAAAATTTGTAATTTGTATATAATATACTATATATTTGTATATATAACCAATAATTTTGGTATAAATCTTTTGTTTGGTTGGCTTTCAGACATTTTTGACATTTTGCCGACTAGTAAGAATACACAGACCAAAATTATCAGTAACGACAGATTACAAGTTCATCACCCTGCAGACGACAGGATGAAATCTCACAAAGGATATTTCTTGAAAACAGAAGAGTATTTTTTCCAAAATATAACTTTATTCTAATTAATTTTTACATTTTAGTTGTGCCGTACTGCATAGCTTTAATTGACACGAAAAATTATGTGGGATTTTGTCCACCAACAGACTCCACTTAATTTTCTATCAAATTGGCCTAAATCCTGATTTTCTATATTAAAAGGGAATATGTATAGTATAAAATATTATTTATGGGGTATTGGTCTGTTGAACAAATAGCTAAAGTTTATAGATGTACTTATCAATATATGTATTTACTAGTCACAATTGATGATATTAATAATTTTAATTATTTATAATTTTTATCTAAGGCTTTGGTTGAAATGCTAGTGTCACATGCGGGATTTGAACCCATGACCTTTGGCTCAATACGTCTCTAATCACTTGAGCTATTGTGACTTTGATCCACTCGGACACATACTACATCTCATTTGCCAAAGGTCATGAGTTGGAATCCCTCTTATGATAGTAGCTTTGCCATCTCAACCAAGACCTTACAAAAAAGTATCTTTGCAAATATACATAAGGTGACAAAGCATAAATGACTTCTACGCCAGTCACCCAGTGGTGTCATTAATCAAGGATATAACAAGCAAAATTGCTACAGAGTTACATGGGGTGAAGGACTTGAATGAAAGTCACCCAGTAGTGTTGTTAATCAAAAATATAATATGCAAAAATATTACAAGACGTTACATGGCATGAATGACTTGAACGATAGCCACTCAGTGGTGACATCAATCAAAAGTATAACTTGCAAAGTGCTGCAGAAGTTACATGGGTGAAGGACTTGAATGAAAGTCACCCAGTAGTGTTGTTAATCAAAAATACAATAACATGCAAAATATTACAAGACGTTACATGGCGTGAATGACTTGAACGATAGTCACTACGTGGTGTCATCAATACAAAATATAACTACCAAACAAGCTGCAGAGGTTATATGTCATGAATGACTTGAACGACATTTACCTAGTGATGCCATCAATCAAAAGTGCTGCAGAGGATACATGGATGAAAGTCACCCAGTAGAGTCATTAATCAAAAATATAATAACTGCAAAAATATTACAAGACGTTACATGGTGTGAATGACTTGAATGAAAGTCACTCAGTGGTGTCATCAATAAAAAATATAGCAAGCAAACAAGCTGCAGAGGTTATATGTCATGAATGACTTGAACGACATTTACCTAGTGGTGCCATCAATCAAAAGTGCTGTAGAGGTTAACAGGTGAAGGACTTGAATGAAAGTCTCCCAGTAGAGTCGTTAATCAAAAATATAATAACAGGCAAAAATATTACAAGACGTTACGTGGCGTGAAACTTGAACGATAGTCACTCAGTGGTGTCATCAATAAAAAATATAACTAGCAGAAGTCCTGCAGAGGTTATATGTCGTGAATGACTTGAACTATAGTCACTCAGTGGTGTCATCAATAAAAAATATAACTAGCAGAAGTCCTGCAGAGGTTATATGGCATGAATGACTTGAACGACAGTTATCTAGTAGTGCCATGAATCAAAAGTGCTGCAGAGGATACATGGGTGAAGGACTTGAATGAAAGTCTCCATGTAGAGTCGTTAATCAAAAATATAACATGCAAAAGTGCTGTAGAGGTCACCCAGTGATGTCATCAATCAAAAGTGCTACAAACTACAGGTTCATCACCCGCACACACCCCATGAAGTCTCATGATTTATTCTAAAATTGGTCTGCGTCCTTTTCCACACTATCTAAATGGCTGTTTAAATGTTAAGCCATAATTTTTAACATGAAATACTTTACAAGCAAGATGATCATGAGGCGAGTACTTAAAACATGTGCTTGAAGGAAGGATAAAACACTGTAGGTGTAATAATAAACAAGAATGAGACGTTCAATAAAAGCGTCTTTTTTTATTTTCTTTTTTAATAAATCCAATTGATCATACTGAATTGGTCAAACTGTAGAACCAATGTTCCAGGGTTCAGGCCAATTACCACAAGCATCAGGTAATACTGGGCAAGGAGCATATTAACTTTTTGTGCAATGAGCATTTATGCGGTCGATTATTTAGAAAAAATGTTGCTGCTATCTGTGGTATATCATAATCCCTTATGATCCTCCAGAGAACCTCATTGTTATGTCAGCTAAATCTTACATTTTATGAGTATTGTCTCTATCATTTGAGAATCTCAGGTTAAAAATTTTAGCCCTGAAATCTGGAAGAATCCATCATTTAAATTTCTGAAGAGCTAATTGTTTGTATTTTATCAGCATGATGTCACCATTCTTAAATTTTACTTACTGCATTTAATATTTTTTCATGACTGTAAAAGATACTTAAAAAAAAGGCCACTTAAATTATAGACTCCAAACTTTGAACATAGCGAAATACCAAAATGCATCTAACAGACAAACCCAGCGAGGGTAGGCAGTCCAAATGATCAAATCAAAAACAATCGAATTATATGTTTATAAGTGATATTACTGTGATAAACTAAGCATTATGATTCAAGGGATTAACTTTATCTAAACAAACAATCTCAAATGATTCATAAATCTCTTCAAAAATTTTTTTCAAGTGCAGGTCTTTTATAAGATAAGGATCACCCTTTAATAAATCAGATGGGATGTGGTCAAGTAGGTTTGACAAAAAGACTTAATATTTTTATTGTTTTATTAATAAATTTTAATAATGTACATGATTAAAATATCAAACATACTAAACAGAAGCATTTAAACATAGAGATCAAAGTCTATTCTGTTAGAAGAGTAGAACTGTTCCGTGCCGCATTTCCGAACTAAGACTCCGTTTCCAAAATGGCCCGTTTGCGACCATTTGTCCATCTGTTCTGACGTGAACGGACCTTTTATGTCATTACTGTCTTCGCCTCTTTTGTACTCCCACATCATTACGCTTCCTAGATAAGTAAAAACATTGAATGTTAGGAGAAAAACCAGAAAATTTGACGACTCACCTTCCGGCTGAAAGTTAGATTCTTTTTTCTCCTCGGCACCTCCGTCTGTAAGCCTTTCTTTTTCTTTCTCGCCGAAATCATCGGCGTACATGTCAAGTCCATCACTTTTTATTTTAGAACTCGAAGCATTAAGCTGTTTTTAAATAAAATTAAAAATCTGCTTTTTTTATTGATTCATCTTGATAAACCCACCTTATCCTGAATGTATTCGTACGTCTCCTGATAAATGTCCATGTTTCCTGAATGGGTTAAAATTTTGTTTGCCAATTCTGTCAATTTGGTAACTTTCTCTATGTCATCGTTCGAAGTCGGTTGGGGCAATTTGCCAGCTTTTTTCAGCTTAAGCCTTTCCGAGGCAGAAAGACTTTTCTGCCCGCCTGGAAAAAAAATTTAAATTGAAAAGACAAAATTTCAGTTTTAACTTTGCATTTCTCCTGAAACAACATACCTAATCTCTTTAGAGCCTTTGCGATGCTTTCTTTCGGTTGTAGAAACCCTAAGATTTCTTTATAAAGTAAATTTGTGTCGACTGTGTCGAGCATTTCGTCATCGCTTCCTAATGATTTGTTCACATTTTTATCTGTTTCACCTTGTTTGACCTTAAAAGAAATAATATTATTGTTTCATGTAAATTTCAACTAGTCTTATAATAACAAGTAAAAATATGATCCTTCAATTATTATAATTTTATAAATCCCATACTGTTCCTTCAATAAAAATACCTAATCTAAATATGTATGACCAGGGGTCTAACTGTTGTGGTTTATAATTTATTATTTGCAGATGGCTGGTTTATCAGACAGAAAAGTCTCTTGACAGAATGGGAAATAATTTTTTAATTTCATATCAAGCATCATCCTGAGGTAGGATAGGATAGAGGATAGGGATAAAAGAGGTGGCCACAGGGCCTACTGCACCTCGACCTCAATAGATCTATTGTGCTCCCCTGTTTTTTATAACCCACTGGCCAGTTTCAGATTGTTAATCTACCTCCGTAGCCTGCCAGTGGCTCCTTCACAGAAGCATAAAATATGTTATGCTGTCTCCTCCTCTTTCTGGCAATATCTTCTGTCTGTACTCCCTATCCGGTGCATGTGCCTTCTTAAGTGGCAGTGCCCTGTTAATGATTATTTGGAGATTGTGTGATGCGGTCTGGTGTGATGTAGGTTTTCTACAAATACTTTGATTGAATCTAAAAATTTTTTGCATTGTATAACTTCATTTTTTTAACCTAAATTTTTCTAGCATTGTATAAATTCAGTTTTTTCCTTTGTTTAATCTAAAATTTTCTAGCATTGTATAAATTCAGTTTTTTTAATCTAAAATATTCTAACATTGTATAAATTTTTTTTTTAACCTAAAATTTTCTAGTGTTGTATAAATTCACTTTTTTTATTTTGTTTAATCTAAAATTTTCTAGCATTGTATAAATTCAGTTTTTTTTAATCTAAAATATTCTAACATTGTATAAATTTATTTTTTTTAACCTAAAATTTTCTAGCATTGTATAAATTCACTTTTTTTAATCTAAAATTTTCTATCACTGTATAACTTCTTTTTTTTAACCTAAAATTTTCTAGCATTGTATAAATTAAATTGAACCTCAAAGAAGCTGACTCCTTATACAAAAATGTTTTTCTAACCCTACTTCCTTTTCCACCCCTTCAAAATCCAACGTATATAAACATCAACAGAAAAAATCAGGCATAACTCAGAAATGGTCGGTCCTATGAAAAATTTTCTTTCAGTAAAAGTGGCATAAAATAAACTCTCGTTTAAAATAACAGCGTCATTTCCTCGTTGGATGAGAAAGTTATGTTAAATCTGTTACCATTTCCCAAAAAAGATTTCTTGCCAAAATTAACTTGGGGTTTGTATAAGACTATTTTTTGGATAAAGATAATACTTTTAGAATTAAGGACTATCGAAGTTGATAATCAAATTTAAAAAAAAATCAAGTTGATTTGTTGCCCTTAGAGAAAAATCACTGCAACCATTAATAACAACTTGAATTTTAACTTATAATTATTTTTTAAGGTTTATTACAACATTATTACATTTGATAATTGATTTGATTGATTGTTTCATTATTGCCTACTTACAACTATAGAAAGTCATTTACACTATTACAAAATAAGACTTTTGAACTGTACCAAATAGCACAAAAGTTTAATTTTATCAACTATATTCCACCCTTTTAATTTGGAAACGATTAACTTTAGCAAAAAATGTATTTCTATCCCTACTTTCTTCTCCTTCAAAATATATAGACATAAAAGATCAATATCTCACTGGCACTCTCAACACGACACACAATAATAACATATCTACACAGAAAACAAACACTTCGAGTGAGTACAAATGAGTTGAGAGAGTTACAATTGAGTCTGAATTTTCTAGCATTGTATAAATTCATTTTTTCACATCCTACATGTATTTGTATAATTTTTATAAATCCCAGGCCCTGAAGATGATCTCAAAGATTGAAACATTGGCAAGATATAGAAAATGTTTTTCTACACGAATAGTTTTAGGGAACATAAGGGCGCGAAAATGACCAAAGAAGTCGATGGCGCCTGACTAGAACCCAACCTTGGAGTCGCTCAGGCACCAAGGTGGGTGACTCCCCTGATCTATCAGGGAGAGGCCAGAGGCCTCCTAGGTCTCGTAATTCTTTTTTTTTTCTAAATCTATGTCACACCAGACCACATCTCACGATCTCCAAATAATCATCAACGGACACTAAACACCACACACACCATTCCAGACAGTTTTTATTTGGAAGTGTTCCTTCAACAGTTCCTCAATGAAGATGGCGCAATGATGAAACGCATTTGAACAGTAGAACAAACCTTTGGTGAAGACCCAAGTTCGGCATGAGTTCACCGACTCGCAGAACACCTATCTTGTTTTGGCTAATACGGCTTGCTTATTATCCAAAAATTGAGAATTGTGTAAAAAAAATTAATCTGGGCTTAACCTTGATCCAATCGATATTCTCGAGCCAGTTATCTTTAGCGACCTTTTCTTTTTTCCAATGGTACATGCCGTTGTTATCAAAGTGTCCTTCCTCCATTTCCTCTTTCATGTTGAACGGTGTGATCTGCACGCCGCCTTCCAATCCGACGTTTCCGTCTTCCTGGCCTAAAAACGAAAATTTTCTAGTAAAAAAAAAAAGGAAGTATAATAATTTAATTTTTTTACCTTCTATGTCCTCATCTTTCAGCCTGTAATTTTCATCTGCGTCGCTGTCGTTGTCCTCTTCGTCCGAATCGAGGGAGTTCTTGTCGATCCTCCTCACTTCGTTGAGGAATTCGAGAGGATCGTCGATAGGATGCTTCCTCTTCGGCATCTCCGGAGACGGTTGTTTGTACACGGTTGTTGTTGTTTTCTTGTTATTGTTGTTTCTGCCGAGGAGGTTACGCCCTTCGTCAAAGCTCCGTAAGGATACGTCATGAAAGGAGAGCTGCGTAATGGTTAACAACAGTAATATTTAATTTCTAATTATTGAGAAATTTGAGATGCGGTCTGGTGTGATGTAGGTTTCAAAAAAACATTTTCTTTATCGTGCCAACGTTTCGCTCTTTCTTAAGATCATCTTCATGGCCTGGGATTTACAAACATTGTTTACATTTAATACATGTAGGATGTGGAAAAAAGGGAATTTATACAATGCAAAATAAATTTTAATTTCTAATAAATGGTATTATTTAATCCAAATAAACAATAAAAAAACTATGAGTTACATAAAACTTTATGACTAAATCACTCGGATTATTAAAGATATATCACAGTTTTAGTCGTTGACACGGCGTTCATCCTGTAAGGAAAAGGTCCCGGGTTCGAACCCGGCATACTTTCAAATGGGCTTTCATTCAAAACTACCGGCACCCCGAGGGTTAATATAACCTCTGCGAACCCTCGTAAAAAAAAAAAAATAATAATAATAATAAGTTTTCAAATAATTTGTTGAAAATTAGGTGTTCTGATAAATTATATATGTAGGTTTTTGTATGTATTTTTTACATACATATTCTGTATAAAAATCAAAAACGTCTTCTATGAACTTTCTTCTGCAAAACTGTAATGACTTTATGACGTAAATTAGGCGGAAACTGGAAAAATTTGACCTTAATGAAAAAATTCAGGCGTGTAAAAAAAAATGCTACATATAAAAAAGGGTGTAAAATTTGTCATAATTTTGAGTTGTTGCAAAATTAACGATCTTCTATTTAATAACAAACAATTCATAGTATACCAACAAAACCAGAAAGAAAGAAAGAAAAAAACAAAAAGTAGCATCTTTTGGATCACACTTCAAATAAATAAATGACGTTAACAAGTAGCTGAAATACGGTAAAATGTTAAAGCTTGATGCTTAAACAAAAATACAGACTCTTCTGAAAAAGGAATACGTATCAAAATGCAAGTTCATCGAGTAAAAGAAGAGTTAAAATATAAAATAGTAAGAAAATCATTTGTTCTTCCGAAAAACATTCACTATACCTTGAAAACTTTCTGGAATGTGGTAAAGTTTTAAAGCTTGATGCTTAAACAGAAATTACAGACTTTTTTAAAAATAAAATGCCTATCAAAATAAAAAAAAATTAAATCATAAGAATAACATTTTGTAAACGATTCCACAACGTTTCTCTCCAAAATCCGTTATTCCACAAACATACGGGTTTATTTTATAAAATAATTGTAGTTGAGTGTATCCATTTTTCAATCAATATTTGAATGTTTTAACAATGATATGTGCCAATCTATGAACCCTCAAAACGAAAAAAAATATATCACACCCCTAGATCAAACCAGTGGCGGACCCGACCAAGGGGGGTGTAAAAGGGAAATTACCCTCACCCCTGGAGCCAAGTGAAGATGTTATATGTTGTAGGTGATATGTCTTAATTTAGCCTTAATTAAGCGAAGAGGCTTATTTTTCAGGATTGTACAAACCTTGATCTGTTACCTCTGATAAACTTTCGCTAAATTAAATCAGTTTCCAAACTTGTCACGCTTTGGCTTTTTTGTCTGCCGGTTCGATATTCGATCACTCCATTTGATATCAAGAAACCTGTATGTTGACGTTTAATTTTAGATAGAATTCTTTCAAAAATCTAGAGCTCTCTAACGGTCGCATTTCTGACCGCATAACAATGAAATTTGGCAGGGTGGTAAATAATGGTCTTACAGTGATGAGCGCCGTGTGCCTAAACCGTTGCGGCCACCGACGCCCCTAGAGTAAGATAATATAATTGTTTCTAAATTTTACAACATTTCTAACTTCTATGTTTTCCCATAATAAACAAACCTTGATAATGACGATGTAACCGTCGAAAGCTCGGCAAAAAACGAAAGAATTGTCGTTCCGTTGTGACCTCACCCAAGATCATTTTTCCACGTGTTTAGTAGCAGGTCGATTCATCATCTCATCTTTATTCAACTATTATTGAAGAAGCTGAAAATATTGTATAACTTTAACAGTGATGCTTTTTTTTTTATTAATTAGCTTTAAAAACAATGTTTCAAATGAACAAAAAGTTGCTTACGGTGTGCCACAAGGTTTTATACTAGGCCCCATACTATACATCATTTTAACTAATGATATGTATAAAATATTCACAGAAAGTCATACTCAGCTGATGATATATATCAAAAAACGGGCAAATATGAAATATTAGGGAACCGTATTACCGTCTTTCTGGCGTCCGGTAATTTAATTTTTATTATATTTCGGGTATTAATTTTATTAAATTCGTTATTTTTCGTGGTCCGCTTGACCAAATAATAGCTTTCAATTAATTAATCTGTATTTAAGTTGAAAAATGTAAAAAAGGAGGAAAAATTCAAAAGGTGAGGTTGGGATGGGAAGTTAATCCCGAGTGGATCGAAGTCACGATAGCTCAAGTGGTAGAGCAGCGGCGTATATAGCGGAAGGTCGTGAGTTCGAAACTCGCTCGTGACAGACTTTTTTATCTCAACCAATACCTTACATAAAGATTAATTAATTGGAAGATTAACTTTATTGTTGGTTAACGCAGAATATTCTAATATGACATCATTTAAAAAGATAAATCAAGAAAATACTGAAGTTTTGCATATTTTAACAAACATTCTATAAGCAAAGTAGGTCAGAAAATGGTCTAATATTGGATTTGACCTCATTGTCGTGATTCTAGCGTTATAAAACCTTTTGATAACGACTTCCGAGGAAATCTGTACAAATAAATTTTTTGTATTATAATATCGCGCGACTGACATTCCTAGTACAAGACTAATATAATTTAGGCCAAACTCCGTAGCTTGGCAAAATGCGTTTCTTTGAGAATGGCGATTGCAGTTTACCATGCCAACTTTCAAAATTGTATTGGTTATGCAATTGAAGTCTGGGATCATTCAAATTCCGCCCTTATGATTTTTAAACAGCAAAAGAAGGATATAAGAATATTGAAAGGGTTGGGCTATAGAAACTATTATGTACAATTTAACATCCTGACTGTACCTAGAAAGCTTAGAGAAATAGAAATTAACTATTTGGCCAAAGACTGGGAACACACTTCGTTTGGCTTTCAACTTAGTTCAAATTCAGTTTTACTAGACAGGCTAAATGTGATCTAAATTTTTCTAAAAGTGATCTTTGATTTTAACTATTCAGAAATCGTGAGATGCGGTCTGGTGTGATGTAGTTTTCAGAAAAACATTTTCTTTATTGTGCCAACGTTTCGATCTTTATTGAGATCATCTTCAGGGCTCAAAGTGTTTGTTTTCTGCGTAAGTGTGCCATTCTTGCGTGTCGTGTTGAGAGTGCCCACTAATCACACATTTGATTTTAACTTTTTTACAAATTTAATTAGACGTAAATGAAATATGTACAGAACTTTACGTACTTTCGCGAGTTTTCCTCCTGTCTGCAGGATGAACCTGTAATTCGGCCTTTCCCGATCATTTTGGACCGCCAGAGGTTTTAATTTCGGTATTTTAACAAATCACATTATTCAATTCTTATTCAGAAAACGTGAGATGTGGTCTGGTGTGACGTAGGTTTCCGAAAAACATTTTCTTTATCTTGCCAACGTTTCGATCTTCATTGAGATCATCTTCAGGGCTCAAAGTGAATAATTATCTATTAACGGTCACTAATCACCATATCACCATTCGTTGTTTCAGCAAGGAACAAATTGCTAACGATTATATATTCAGCCAACAATTAGCTTATATGACAATCCAACTACTGATTTTGCTTATGTGATTCATTTACGATAGGAGATCAAGGATATGAGGGTTTTAAATTGGGTGAGTCAAAAGGTGAAGCCCTTGTTTATTTTTTTTACAACCCCTCAAATCACGAGTTGATGTGTCAGCTTGGATTTATGTAAGCTCAAATTTGCACATGAGAGACGTGTACTGAGTTGAGCCTATCACTTCTCGCAGTCCACTGGCAATTACACATCTTTTGATTACAATAAATTATCAGCAGGCATCGGAAATCTCGGATGTTAGCAATCCGCAGGCCGGACTACTCTCATCCGTTCAGCCACCGAGGTTGGGCGGTGCTGTCAACAGCTAGGTCATTTCAAAACCAAATCTTTTAAATCCAAACCCACTCATTCTTAAATGCATCCTTTCCTATCATACCATTCATGAATTAGAGTGGTGTACTCGATATTCTTCCATCACATTTAAGACCTGTTGTACAACTAACCTAACTGAGGGACGATGAATACTCAATACTGTGCCATCAGCTTATACTACACATTCACGCCAATAAATACATTCACTTAACAAACTCTATGTACATTGTTGTTCTAAATGTATTCTTTCAGAAGATTGTAATTAATAATAAAAATTAAATAAAAATGTATTCTAAGAAAAAGGGGTTTATTCGGATTCGGTGTTGACATTGAAATTTTCTGTCTTTAGAAAAACAAAATGGACTTCTATGAGCCTGATTTGTAAATTCCAGTTTCAATTAGAGTTAAATACGTTCCCATAAAAGAAGTGACCTATCTTCTAACATTTCAACATATCTGTCCAAAAATAAGCATTGCGTGAATGAAACTAAACGTAACGATACCCATTATCGAAATGGGGATCGGGCCGATCATTGGCACACTTGGCACCCGATCCGCGACTATTTGTTCGTAATGCCCCTCGTCTCGACTGACAATGAGCAAGGGGTGAAAGTAAATACGATTTGCATTTCTGAATCAATTTTGACATCCCGGAAAGCGATTCATTCCGACTTGTCGCGCACGTGCACCGTGAGAAATGCATTGTCGCTACATTTATAAGGAGTGAAATGCATTCAACATGAACGCAATCAAATAGGTAATTTTGCAAAGCAGTTTCAAGTAATTTTGATAATACAGTTAATAAAAAAACATTGTGTAACATTGTTTACATTGATTATTCGAAAATCGTGAGATGCGGTCTGGTGTGATGTAGGTTTCAGAAAAACATTTCCTTTATCGTGCCAACGTTGCGATCTTTATTAAGATCATCTTCAGAACCTGGGATTTACAAACATTGTTTAAATTTAACAAATACATGTAGGAAGTGGAAAAAGTGAATTTATACTATGCAAAAATATATTTTTATATTCAATCAAAGTATTTTTTTTTATAAAAAAATATTTTTGCATTGTATAAATTCACTTTTTTCACATCCTACATATATTTGTTAAATTTAAACATAAAGGAAGAGAAAAAGAAGGAGAAAAAGTGAGAGAGGGCGAGAGAAAAGGGAGAGATTCAGTGAGTGGAGACAGAAAGATACAAAGTGAAATAACACAGAGGCGGACTGGCAAATCAAAAACAAACCAAGAAAGATTGGAGAAAAAAGAGAGACAAACAGACAGATAAACCAAGAAAGGATGAAGAAAAAGATAGAGAAAGCAGACAGAAAACAAGAATGGCTGGAGGGAATGAGAGGGACAAACAGACAAACATACCAAGAGAGGGAGAAAAGAGAGAGAGAAAAGAGAGAGAAAAGCAGACCGAAACAAACCAAGGAAGAATGCAGAAAAGGGAGAGAAAACAGACAAAAAACAAGGATAACAGGCGCGAATGAGAGAGTCAAACAGACAAACAAACCAAGAAAGCAGGGAGAAAAGAGAAAGAAAAACAGACAGAAAAACAAGAAAGAATGGAGGAAAGATAGAGGCAAACGGACAGAAAAACCGAGAAAGAAAAAGAAAAAGAGCGAGAAAGTTAGACAAACCAAGAAAATAGAGAGAGAAAAAGAGACAGAAAAACCAAGAAAAAATAGAGAGCCGGAAAATGAAAGAGGGAGGCAAACGAAAGGACAAACCAAGTTAAAATGTACCGAAGAAGAAAAACAAACAGATATACAAACAGGAAAAAATTGAGAGGAAAAGAGAGACAGAAAAATAAATAATACATTTCCCTCATTTTCCGTTCGTTAGATCCCATTCCTGGGCACCAATTTCACCCATTCTACTCCATTTTTTCGGCTTCACCCTTTTTCATTTTTTTTCGTTCGTTCGTCTTCGGAAAAAGGAAAGAACTTTGTCGATACTCATCGTCCCGAGAAATTGGTATCGCCTGTCCTCGACTCAGCCACTTCGGTGAGGATCAATGGCAGAAAACCTTGGTAATTGACTAACAGAAAAGTAACTTCATTTGATCTTCGCTTAAAGGACATCTGGAATTTCACCGCAGGGTCTTCGAATCTCCTTCGTCCATTGATCTGTCATCCTGAACCCATCGTTCATCGACACCGCACTTCGAAATCTGTATTTATTACCAGATGGACACCCAAACCTCATCCCAAGACACCTGCCAACATTGAGTGGATTACAGATTATTGCATACTGAACTTGAATGATTTTGCATTAAATTATTATATCATTTTATCTTCATATTTCCGAAATTAGTTTAGTTTTTTTAAGGAAAGTTACTAGTTTGTCTATTTGGTCGAAGTCATCGCCAAGCGAGTCTTTGATGTTGGTTGGAATTTCCAACCGATGTCTTTCTTCTACATATTTTTTGCAATTTGTCAAAATGTGTTTAACTGTTATTCTTTCTGTGCAAACATCACAAAGCGGAGTCTCTTTTCTTGCCATGAGATAAGAATGAGTGACCAATTCTGAGCCTAGCAAGGACAACTTCTTCGTGCCTGGAACCTCTATGAGATGAGGCCCAAGGTTTTACACTGTTTTTTATCTCCTTAAGTTTGACATTAGAAGTCGTTTCCCACTCTATTTGCCATAACTGCCAAGACTTTCTTTTATGCCAAGCTGTCACATCGGATTTTGGTGTTTTTGCAATTTTAACTCCATTAAGGACGGCCTGCTTTGCCAAATCCACCTTCTCAATGCCAAATATTCCGCAGTGTCCAGGTATCCACATGAAATCTACTCTATTTCCCTGATTTTGCAGAGATTCAATAGTAAATAGGATGTCTTGTACCAATGGATGTACAGAAAAGTTTTTTTAAGGGCCAATAGCGCCGTCAAAGAGTCAGTACAGATGACAATCGTTTCCCTGGATGAGGCTAATGTAGTGAAGCACTTTGCTATTGCTATAATCTCAGCAGTGTAGTTGCTACACATAGGTGGTAGGGTAAACATATATTGTGCATTATTATTATAAGTGAAAAAGGCAGCGCCTGTCCCTACATCATTTTTTGAGCCATCTGTAAAACATAGTGCGGGATTCGAAAATATAAAAATACCTCTTTAAAAAATGGTAATATCAAAAAAATTCCAAATATTAGGAATGAATTGATTTTTTTTATTTATCGATAAAAACTGAGGATCCAGTCAAATAGCAATTCAGCTTTGATAATGATTTAGTATGATTGTCCAGTTAAAAAAAAGAGCCAGTAACCAGTCGTGTTTACATGGGATTCTTACCTTTTTTGCAATTGGCTATTAAGATTTAGGGTCTTAAATAGAAAGAACTGGAATCTAGGGTTACTAGACAAAAAAAATATTGGGGACTTAGTCCAGGCGTGAGGTAAGAAAAAATAATTGCAAAAACAACCCTATACGAAAAAAAGAAGAAATCCTCTCCAACAGAAGGTAATTCTATTAAAATACCTCTTTAAAAAATGGTAATACAAAAAAATTCTAAATATTACGAATGAATTGATTTTTTAAAAATTTATTGTTAAAAACTGAGGATCCAGTCAAGTGGCTATAATTGAGCTTTGATAATGTTTTAGTATGATTGTCCAGTTAAAAAAAAGAGCCAGTAACCAGTCGTGTTTACATGGGATTCTTACCTTTTTTGCAATTGGCTATTAAGATTTAGGGTCTTAAATAGAAAGAACTGGAATCTAGGGTTACTAGACAAAAAAAATATTGGGGACTTAGTCCAGGCGTGAGGTAAGAAAAAATAATTGCAAAAACAACCCTATACGAAAAAAAGAAGAAATCCTCTCCAACAGAAGGTAATTCTATTAAAATACCTCTTTAAAAAATGGTAATACAAAAAAATTCTAAATATTACGAATGAATTGATTTTTTAAAAATTTATTGTTAAAAACTGAGGATCCAGTCAAGTGGCTATAATTCAGCTTTGATAATGTTTTAGTATGATTGTCTAGTTAAAAAAAAGAGCCAGTAACCAGCCGTGTTTACATGGGATTCTTACCTTTTTTGTAACTGGCTATTTAGATTTAGGGGCCACCTTACCTTCAACAACTGTAACGCCATTAAAAATAATATTGCGTTATGAATAGAAATCGAAATTATATCGTGCAAAACATTCAATAAAATTATATAACTTGATGGGACGGTGTGAATGCTTAATTGAAGCAGAATGGTATCAGTTTTAGAGTGGTGGTGGTATAATATATGGGCCATCGACAACCGGAGGGTCGACAGTGTTCGGACGAAACCGGAGCAATCATGAAAGCCTTGGTAAGTTCCAAAAATATATTTTATTTTTTTTCGCCGAGTCAACGCAAAATTTCTTTGTCAAATGGTGGGAGGGGTTCTGGCTATTTAAAAAATACATCTTGAGCAAGCGAAATTCTTGCGCAATATTTACATACATGGGAATGTTTTGCCAACATAAATTAAACATGGAACTTCTTGGAAATTTATAAGCAGTTTTGTTTATAATAATAACGATGAGGTATTGTTCGTACAGTTTTGAAATTTTGCTGTGTACATTAGTGCTCCTTGAATGAAGGTTCTCGATAGACCGACAGTTCTCGCTGTGAGTGTATTTTCTCAGTTTTACACGAAAATAAGAAATTTATTTATAGTCTAAACACCAAAAAATTATCTCGATATAATTGATATTAGCTTTCAAAATAATAATTTTGTTTTTTAAAAAACAGGGCTAAATTTTTCACTCTGTTTAATCACTAACAGGTGCTGAATATAAATTATTATTATTACCGAAATTATATTGAATCAATCTTTCGTTAATTCTATGAATTAGAACTCTAAGAAAACTTAGGAAAATTGAAAAACGCTTTTACTTCCAGCAGAATTTTTTATTTATGGAAGATCCCTTTCATTCATCTTGTGACCATCAGCTTTCTTTGGACAAAACAGAATAGAAAAGCACAAAAACGAACTGTTCTTTTCTGTGTTTTTTGTGATTTTTCTGATGCTCACAAAGTGAATGAAAGGCGTTTTCTATAAATAAAGAAAATCTTCTGGAACTAAAACTGTTTTTGAATTTACCTAAACAATAATATATAACGTGTTTCCATCGGAAAGAGGTACGAACTTTAACTAATTTTATGATTTTTTAAATGTAGATTTAGAAAAAAATTGGTCGCACAATTTTGTTCTCGTTTCTTCATATATTAACAAAATTACATAAATTAATTTATAATTAAATAAGTACGTAAGTAAATAAATAAATAAGTTGAGATAAAAAAGTCAATGGCACGAGCGGGATTCGAACCCACGATCTTCGGCTAGATACGCCGCTGCTCAAGCGGTAGAGCAGCGGCGTATCTAGCCGAAGATCGTGGGTTCGAATCCCGCTCGTGCCATTGACTTTTTTATCTCAACTAAAAACCTT